ACCATCTTCCTTGTCACCATTATGACCAAGAAGGAGTGCAAATCATCTCACTGTAGGAGGAAGATCAACATCCAGATCTGCTCTGGGAAGCTCAACGGTTAGAAATGGCTTGTTCAAACAGGAGAGAGGGCAGAGCAAAGAAAGGAAGAGAGAGAATAGATATTCCCAGAAGTCAAGAAACCTGGGACACTTCAGCTTCAAAACAAGTCTTTAATCTCCAATTTCCATCTAGCCAATTGTAAGATATGAATCTCCAAAGTAGGCACCATGAAACTGTTTTTACACTGAAACAACAAATTAGGTCGAACTAATCCTATACGAGGTCGACCGAAAAGTGCATGTCACCGTGACATACATGTCACAGTAGCAAAGTCCAAAAAGTTAATAATGTCATATCAAATTATTAAAAAACATGTCGAACAACATTAATAATAACACAAACGAATACCTAACAACGAAAAATCTCAAACCCATACAATGAAAAGCCCTAATGATGATTCAATTTATAAATATTGATAATGTCATTACAAAATGTTAATACTTAATACTAATCGAAAGTTGCCAAGATGTGAGAGAGGCATATATTTTAAATTTCAAATTTCCATTTTAGAAAAAGAAAATTATTAAATTCGGATTTTATTAAATATTAAATAAAATTAATTTCATATTTCTTTTTAATTATAATGTAGAGAGAGGGTTATGGATAAAATCATGGGAGGAGAGAGAAAGAGAATCATTAATTATATTAATTTTAATTATATTTGCATAACCCTATTTACCCTTAACTACCTATTAACTACTAACCCCCATTAACTACCTAATCCACTTTCAGCCAATAGGAAGGTTTTAAGATTTTCCTTAAAAAATGAGGCTTAAGGACTTGAACTCAAGCCCTTTTATTTTATGTTTGATTTTTATATTGTTTGTTTCTAGTGTTCTAGATTTTTTTGTTGTTAATTGAAAATTAAATTAATTACATCAAAACTTATGTTTTAAAAAATTATTAAAAAACATGAAAAGATTACAGTAAAAACACAAAAAAAACCGCCTTCATATGAGTACAATTGGATTTGAGAGTATTAGAACGGAGAGTTATATAGTTGGAGTAAAAAGATGAATTGGGAATTGAGTTTATTTGGTTGGAAATGTTTTACATTTTTTAATGGGCTAATACCACTACAACACCTGAACTATCAAAGAAATCTCACGTGTGTCCTATTTTATTCAATATTTCAATTCTATCACATCGTATGAAATTTTGTGTCATTTTTGTCCTGTCAATTTCATTGACCGTTAAATACGATGGTCAAAGTAATTTTGAATTTTAGTGACGTGGCAAACAATGTGGCATCCACCTAGATGCCACGTCATTGCCACATAATTTTTAATACAAAATAAATTAAAAATACAATAAAGAAAAAAATTAAAGGACATTTTCACCGTTTGTTCATTCCCTCACCGACAATTTAATCGCCACCACCCCCTGAGTGCACTGTTACTCCGTCCAGCTAAAAGCCTCCTTCTAGGAATCCCATTCTTCACTTCAATCACCATTCCCCACTTTTTGCCCAAAGGACAAAGAGAGGAAGTGAAAGGCACGTATACATACCCATAAGAAGAGACAAACACAAAGAGCTTGCCATGGCTGGAGAAGAGGATGAGAGCGTCCTCGGCGTCACAAAGAACAAAGAGCTCAGAGCCCTTCTTCAACAACTCATTCCTTCGCTTTGAGAAATTTAGTTGTCGATTCACCTTGTTCTCTATCCTCTCGCCGTTGGGGTGTTGTAGCGGTAGGGTGGGTGAGGGCGGGAGAGAGGGGAAATATGGCGGCCATCTCGTTCTCCGAATCCAAACCATTCCCCTTGCTTCGTCGATAGTTGGGAGTCCCTTAACCTCCTAAGCCTTTCTCGAAAAAGAAAATAGAGGGCATATCTAACTTTCCAGGCGGTGGAGCTCTGGATTGCAGATCTAGGCACTTTGTTGGTTGAGAGCTCTGGATTTCAGATTCACCCTCATTTGCCTTCTCCGTGCGATGATTCTTCGCTGCCACCGATGGGTCTACTTCTAGGTTGGGCGTTGTGGAGGCGCGAGAAGGGCGAAATCGGGTATAGGGGTTTGGGAAGGAGAAATTGAGTTGGGAGGAGAGGAGATGGTGACGGTGAAAACAGATCTTGCAGTTGGCCACCCTCCAGGTTTACTTTCCGACGACCCAGCGAGATCAGCGACATTTCTTTCATAGTTTGGGTGTTGTAATGGTATTAGCCTTTTTACTAGACAAGTTTTGAGTTGGTGTTACCAAATGCCAAACTTATTTAACATTATAGTAACACTAGTTAATTGGGTATGGTCTTACTATTTCTCTACTCTATCCTTTTCATGTAGCCTTTTTAGTTTTGGTGATCAAAATTTACTCCGAGGGTAAGGCTCTGCACTCTGCAGACTGCAGAGCTGAGAGCAGTTCACCAGTTCAGGGCCAGCAGATACTGAAAGTGACTCATCCTTCTCACATAGCACAAACATAGAAACACAATAGAGAGATTATAATGGAAGAAACAAACACAGTCTTTGATATATATATATATTTTTTTTTCAATTTCCAGCTAAATGTTTCTCTATCAAATTAGAACTCACCATACCTACCCATATCGATCTTCTTCTTCATCTTCTTCCTTCTCCAACGGCACAAATGGATCAACCAACGTTGGTGGGGGATGGGCGAGTGATAATTAAAGAGCATTCGTGATAACGCAGTTTTGCGGCGACAGATATACAACATGGGCGTCGTTTTCGGGTAGTCCCTTTTTTGTTTTGTTTTTTTTTTTTCCATTTCCCTAACGGCTATTGCTTTATTATATCACCGCCACAGAAGCCTCTGGAACTCTCAGGGGGGCGGTTTCTCGAGTTACGGGTCCGGTTACACGTGTCGGACTACTACAGGGCAGCCGAAGAAATCCGCTGGTGTTGTCGTTGTTGCGACGGCGTCGGACCGAACGGGACTCGGACGGAAGCTGACGTCACGGTGGAGAGGGAAAGACGGACGGTGGATGGTGGGGTCGGAGAAAGCGTAATGTTAGCAAGGAACAGAGCAGCAATGGACAATGCCAGGCTGTTAAACATGTGACCCCGATTCGGTGTCGTTTTCTATCAAATTTGTGGCCCCCGCCCATCGCTAATCCTGTGATTATTATCAATTTATCATCGTTAATCCAACTTCTTGATAATGTACTTATGCGGAAAATAAGTTGTTCGGGAGTTGCAATTTCTGTATAGTATGGGGACTAGAATCGTACACAATGAACCTTCTATTGGGTTATTTATTAGATTAGAACAATGATGCGCAACGGTAAGGTACGAAAGTGGAACTTTCCACTCCAGAGAATGTCTTCTCTCCGATACCATATTCTTTATGAATTTTAATGATATCCATTCCTATCTTACAGTATCATGTGAGCAGATGTGCTATTATTGTTTCGTTTAATTATGGGGGAAAATACTTTTTATTGGTAATAAGTGGATTATATTCGAGGGACACAATCAATTCTGCTATCATTCTTCCGATAAGGAGTACAGCTTGGATTGATGCATGCAAGGGCTGGCTAGCTAGTAGTTCTTGTTGGAAGAAGAACATGTCCCATTCCAATGCTTTGTGTGTACCAGCCCTAATGTTCCAACCACTAGGATTGGGTCCAGTTCAGGAGCGACACTGTTGGGTGGAGGTTAAGAGGAACACTTATCTTGACCATCCGATAATATTGTTAGAGAGCTACAATTGCATGTGCATTTCTACCACGAGAGAGTGAAGTCGTCTAAGTACGGCACGACAATTTCCCATATTTTATGGGGATGAGGAGGTGACATTATATGCAAGGAAGTGTTATCTAGTATCTACGTCCTTCCTTAATCTTTGCTAGCATATGACCTTGCATCCAATGAGGTTGTACTTCGAGGATAGATACATTGAACAAAAAAATATGATCTTTTCCCAGAAGTTGGCGAATGTTTGACACTCGATCCTCCTACACCATCTGTTGGTGCCTGGTGAGTTTGTTGTTGTCAGTATTATTATTTGATCTGGACCATCAGTTCTGATATCTCTAACAATTCATATTTTACGTAGTCTTTAACGATATAAAAAATATATAAGATATATCCACAAATACATACGAGAGATTAAAACATTTTATAAGAAAAAAGTACTATATTTCCTTTGCGTAAATAGCATTATCACGTACATTTAGCAATGAAAGCAGAATTTGACAAGATACATATTGAGCTTTATCAGACCATCCAAAACTGAAACTTTGATCTTAATTATGATTAGTTTAACATGCATGCTTAAAGCAGCAACTAGCAAAAGGAGAAGTACATCATTACTCATTAGTGGCAAAAGTAACTTCATCCTTTCATTTCCCCCCCATTTTTATCTTGAAGTGAGGTCCTTTGTTGTCTTCCAAGTCATTAGTCACGCTAACCAAAACGCACCCTCTTGACACTTTAGGTAAAATCACAAATTCACCATGCAATGAGAGTCACATAAAGGAGGGTAACCAAACAGTAAAAATGTGAAAGAAAGACATGAAAAGAAGGGAAAGTGGTTAAATGAGAGTGGCCAACTTTTCCCAAGGTAAAAAAGGAAGAAAAGTTGCTATTCCTTCAGCTAAAGAAAGACAAGAAATAACCGTTGGTGAAATAGGAGTGACTTTTTCTAGTTTTTGGTTGGATGCCATTGCCAGGCTGACCTCTTTTGGACCCTCTCTCAAGAAAGATGATGAGCTCTCACATGGGTATATCTGTAAACCCCCTGGCCCACTCTCTCTCTCTCTCTCTCTAGTCTCTTCTTGGTCCAACCCCCTTTTCCAATAGCCCAATTCTTTTTCACATGTCCTCCCCAAAATACCCCTGGCTTATCCATAGTTCCACTTCCATACCCTTCCTTCCTCTGGCATTTCTAATCCTCTGTTTTTCCTTTATATAAAGCACCCGCAGTACCACTAGCCTTCCACTAACCCACTCTCTGAAAAGGTCCATTACATTACTCCTTCATCACTCCTCTGTTTCGCACTCTCGAATTCAGGCAGCCATGTCCAAGGAAGTGAGCGAGGAACCGCAAGCCCACCACCACGGGAAGGACTACGTCGACCCACCGCCAGCACCATTGTTGGATTTCGCCGAGATCAAGCTCTGGTCTTTCTACAGGGCTCTCATAGCTGAGTTCATCGCCACCCTCCTCTTCCTTTATGTCACCGTCGCCACCGTGATTGGGCACAAGAAGCAGACCGACCCGTGTGGCGGGGTTGGGCTTTTGGGCATCGCATGGGCTTTTGGCGGCATGATCTTCATCCTTGTCTACTGCACCGCCGGTATCTCTGGTAAGCAGATTAACCGTACAACCCAGTTATTTGAAATCTTTTTGAGTGAACAAAATGTTACCCATTTCTGGTTTGGTTACGTAGAGTAATGGGTTGCGGTAAAAAACTGAAATTGCTTTGGTTGTGTGTGTTTTCCAGGTGGGCATATCAATCCAGCAGTGACTTTTGGGCTTTTCTTGGCGAGGAAAGTGTCCTTGATTCGAGCTGTGTCATACATGGTGGCGCAGTGCTTGGGCGCCATCTGCGGTGTTGGGCTGGTGAAGGCCTTCATGAAGCACCCTTACAACAGCCTTGGCGGTGGTGCTAACTCCATTGCCCCTGGCTACAGCACAGGGACAGCTTTGGGGGCTGAGATTATTGGGACATTTGTGCTTGTCTACACCGTCTTCTCCGCCACTGACCCCAAGAGAAGCGCCCGTGACTCCCACGTCCCTGTATGTAGTTAAAATCCTCTGTTTCTTAACATTTTTGTGTAACGGGATTTCAATTTTCAAGAGTTCGGACACTGATTTCCTTTTGTGTTTTGGTTTACTCTTGTAGGTGCTGGCTCCTCTGCCTATTGGGTTTGCAGTGTTCATGGTTCACTTGGCCACCATCCCCATCACTGGAACTGGGATCAACCCGGCTAGGAGCTTCGGCGCAGCTGTGATCTTCAACAACGACAAGATCTGGGATGACCATGTAAGTCTACACTCTACAGTCTAGCTACCTTCTTACATTTCGACTCTGTTTTGGGGTTTAGGGTTTGCTTAATGTGATTTTGGTTTTGTGGGGGCAGTGGGTGTTCTGGGTCGGACCATTCGTGGGAGCACTAGCAGCAGCAGCATACCATCAGTATATTCTGAGGGCGGCGGCCATTAAAGCTTTGGGATCTTTCCGCAGCAACCCTACCAACTAGAAGCGAGAAACCGAGAAAGCAACCCCCTAGCCAAGCAGAGAGCTCCATTCCATGAACAGAGCTTCTCCTGTCTTCTTCTCTCTCTCCCCCCCTCCCTTGTTAATTATGTTTAAAATCCGCCATTTGTTTTTATCGTTGGTGTGTATGTGAGAGAGTTAGTTTCCATGATTGATGGTGAATGATGATGATGTTTGTTATTGCTACTATTTGGGGATGATGGATGGATGTAATGAAATGGGTTGGATGGATGGACGGACGGATGGATGATGGATCCTCTTTTCTTCTGAAACTCCCTTTCTCTACACTTCGTATTCTGGTTAGGGTTTTACTTTCCCTTGTTTTTTTGTATGTGAAGAAACCTATTTACTCTGAGCTCGGTAAGTGTGGTAACGTTACAGTAGTTAGAACTTAGAAAGGACCAAGGGGAGAGAGAGACGAGGGGGGAAAAGGACAGGGATGAGATGAACCCGGTTACAATTGGTTTGGGCAGAATTGGGAAATGTGGCAGGTCGAGGGAGTTGAGGCATTTTATTTTAATAAATGCTCTGGGCTGGGTAAAACAATAATTGGGCTCTCTTTCTTTTCCTGAATGGTCAATTCCATTTTCCCCATAGAGTATCGTTGTGAGCTGGCGTGGGCCTACAGGCCTGATGTTCACGGGGCCCATTAAGAGGCAGCTGGGAGCATTTTTTTTTTTTTTTGACAATAGCTGGGAGCTTCTTGGAACGTTGTTTTTTCTCAACTTTCTAGAATCCAGTAATTGTAATGTATCCTCTGCTCGATGAAGTTGTTAAGCCATTTTTTTTACAAGGGTGAAATGATTAATTAGAACAAGACAGATAACACAAACAGAGACCAACTCCATCACCCCAGGATCGCCAGGAGTGATCCCAACAGGTTAGAAGAGAGAGAGATCCAAGTCCAGAAACAAAGAAGAAGAAGAGAGAAGTAGGGGTGTCAGTTCGGGTCGGGTCGGGTTCGGTTACCCGAAAAATCGTTGGATAGCCTTTAAAGGTTGATTGCTTGATGGATTTAGTGATGGATTTGAATCCATCATAAATTTTGTCTAAAATCCTTTGGTTTATTTGATGTATTTAGATTTTAGAGGTAACAAGTCTGTGGGATCTACTGATTTTGTGGGCACACAAACTTAAAAATCTCATCTCTTTCGGTGAGAATTGATCACCAATCCTTTGGTTTATGACCAATGTATGCTTTTTATTTCCTTTCTTTTCCATACATATGAGGGCAATAAATTCCATTTAACTTCAAACATACAAATCTAATTAGCAAAATCCATAATGAAACAAACAATGGTGATTTTCAAGTCTATAATGAACCCAAGTTCTACCAAAATCTTTTTTTTTTTCCTAAAAAAGAAAAATTCTTCATTTTTCAAATCTAGAAAAAAAACCAACCTCAATTCTGGATTTCTGATATAGGGGTTTCTTGTTTGCAAATGGATTAGAAAGTTGAGTACCCACATATGCCAACTTTAAACCAAAAAAGCAAAGGGCCAAGGATTTACTTTCCTTTTGGCCTCTCCTTTTGAGTGTTGCTCCTCCTTTCAATTGATTTGGGGGGAAGAGCTGGCCCCCATTGTATTGATAATCCATTTCATCCCATAAACTGAAGGAGTCACAAGTAAGCAATTGTATTCTCAGGCAACGAGAATCGGAAAGAGTTACATATATGTCGTGTCCACAATAATTTACGGGTTTAAAATTGAAAATAATCATCAGAAAAAAGCGTGAAATTCACAAATAATTTTGCAATCAATTTGATCTCATATTTAAAAGCTTCCTTGAGGATGCTGCCGTCATGGTAAGATTTGTGTGAATCGACGAGTTCTCAATATAAAAAAATGGGCGAAGCCGTACACCGACACAAAAGTGCACAACCTGATTGTTAGAGAATCGTTAGTTGATCAATATCCAGTAGGCTAACCTGTAAAAGAATGTTATAGAACTACTAGCCAGTCTCTCGTTTTTATAGAGTTTTGCTTGCAGCATGGTGAAACCGCCAAACCGGTCACATGGGGTGTGGGTTTGTGAAGTGAAGGGTGGGCTACTTACTGCCCTGGCCTGGCTCGGCGGCATAAACCCCACCACCTTCCTTTTTGCCTTTCGCACTCTGCCTATAAGTTGGGTGCAGTTGCGGTCCAACTAAAAAGGCTAACAAGGCTCCAAATCAAAAAAGGAAAAGAAGTTACCAAGGGAAATGGAGTAGCAAATTTAGTGAGCTAGCTACCTCTGCCTGTGCTGACCGTTGAGAATTGGTGGACCACTCCTTTTTCCTTTGTGGTCCTCCTCCTCCATTCCATCGGCAGAACCATACCTCAGTGCAGTTGACAGTTTGGCCTTCTCAAGGAAACCAGAGAAAAAGATGCCGTTGCCATCCTCCATTAGAGAGTCTGGCAGGTTCATCATGTTCTTGCTTGCTTTGATTCCATTATAGGACAGGACTCTAAATCATCCCTGTAGGTGGCGTCGAGCGCGAGACGATCAGGGGTGCTGTTCGCTAGTTTCTTCTTCTTCCACACCTACACAAAACCCTCGTCGCACCTCTCGACCAAGAACAAGTGAGATAACGAAGAAGAATCAGTTTTGATCGACCAAAGAGGGATTTTCCTCTTTGAGTTTGCTGCTGTGAATATGTCGATGGGCCTGAGCCCTTAATGCAAACACACCAAAGTCCACAGAATTTACTTGGACACAAGGCTATCTGATGCAACTCAAAGCCCAATAAAAGTACACTTTTAATGAATCCTTACCAATGCTAAAAACGGAGCGTTTCACAAACCTGATACTGCCCTTCTTCTTCCTCTTGCTCGATCAACACACCCTGCACTTTAAGAAACAAAACCAAAACACCAAGAACAGAACAGAACCTAATTGAACAGAAATGCAGGAAGCAAGTAAACGACACTGCACACGAATTTTTACGTGGTTTCCAACGTTGAGAGAATGAGGATCTCAACGTTGACTAGTCCACGGTCGGAGTTACGCTTCTTGCGCTCTCCGACGATTCACTACGGATATGTCGATGAAGTTCTTTGTGAAAGTACAACCCTTACTAATCCCAGTCGATCAGCTACCCAGCACAATCGACTCACTCTTTTGAACCCCTCTATCAACTACCCAGCTAACAGAGTACCCTGATAAACCCCAATATCAGAACCCAGAAACCCTTACTGTTCCTGTGCTGACTTTTCACTCAACCCCTCTCTTGCTCGCACACTTTGCAGCTAGTCTTATATAATCACAATGAAAAGTCTGCCTCGCATACTAAGTTCCACCTCTACTTATATTCATCTCGATTCTATAGCCGTTGGACCAGAATCAATTCCTTTCCTTGCCTGTTCTTCTTCTTTCCATATGTGTGTTGTTGACGGTTTGAGACAGATTTCCCATATCTTCTCCCAGCTGTTGTTTATTGGATATTCCCTTGAGGTGAGAGCTGATTTCCTTATTGCGCTCTTGTGGATTTTGCTGAGTACTATTGCAAAGCTGCTCTCAACATTCTCCCCCTCAGCTTAGCAATGACCACCTTCTGCAAAATCAAACACAAGAATACTTCGACAGGACATTGAGCAGGAAAAAGAAAAGCTTCGTTAACCAAACCTCATAAATAAACATCATTAACCAAAACTTATAAGTTCAGACCAAACACAATCCATACTCAATCCAGACTCAAAGGAGACTCAAAAAAATTCGAAATTCAGACTCAAAGGAGACTCAAAAGAATTCGAAATTCAGTCCAAACACAATCATTATCCCAGCAGAAGTTTTTTAAAAAAAAACGTGCCCTCTCCAACACTCAAACGCAGGAGACTAGAAGTCATATTCCGGATCGGACTCATAGTCCGAGATAGCTTCTTCAGAGAATTTGTCCTCCATAACTTCTTCAGGTTCTTCCTCTGGTTCCTCAAGCTCCAGGGGTGGATTTTCTGGCATCTTGTCCCTGATTTTGATACTTTTCCCTGCTGTTTTTGGGCGAGAATCGATCTGGGTGCCTTTTCCCTGCAACTTCGAAGTCTCCCCCTTAATCCAAGCTCCCAGCTTCCTCTTTCCTTGGTCCTTTGATTTTGATTTTCGCACAGCTACTCCCCCTTGGTCATTGCGAGGTTTACGAACGCCAACAGAAGCGTCTACCCGTCGCAGTACATGCTGAGCCCGTAGAGTGTCCAAAACATTGACAAGTTGAACTTTGTCATCGAGATTAGCTCCTAGACAGCGAAGATACCTAGTGATTTGAGGACCATAAGGTAGATACCCAGCATTGTTGATATCACTATAAGTGATCATGTGATGGAACATGAGATGAGGCAGGCTAAGCTTTCGATTGGACACTGCATTAGACATGATCCAGAGATCCAGAGGCGTGACCACGGACTGATGGACAGTGCGAGGGAGAAATATACGAGTAATATAGAAGTGTAGCACTTTCAATTCATCAGGGAGATGACAGAGTAGAGTGGAATTCGAGTCACTTGGTTCGACAGAGGTAAGCCGAGCGATGGCATCTTTCGGGTTGAATAGATAGAGATAAAAATCATGCTCACTCATGAGTGATCTTCCTTCAATTGAGAGCTGCAGAGTCTGAGATAACAACTCCACGGTGACAGTATGGCTGAAACCATACACAGTTGAGGAGAAGAAAGCTGGACGAGGATTGTGGTCTCTACGAAGGCTCGCATAGAACATACGAACTGCCTCGGGGCAATAAGTAAAACGTTGTTGCTCCATCACTAAGCTCCAGCCAAGAGCTTGAATGAGCTCTTCCACCCTCAGCTGGTATCTGGAGAAAGTGGCAGGCTCTAGGGTATAGGATGGGATCAGACGCCTATGACGAAAGCAACGTAGATAGCGAGGGTAATCCTCAGGATTTTCACACACCTTGTTTGTGAAAACAGAGGCACGAGCAATGATGAGAGAGACCTGGGGGTTGTACGCCATTTTGAGGGAGTTTGATCGGATGTTTGGAAGAGAGTTGATTGGGTGAGGAGAAATGAATCCGAGAAGAAGGTTTAAATAGAAGAAGGTGTAGACCAGAAGGGATGAATCGTAATTATGAGAATCAGATCAGTTAGATGAAGAATAGGAAGATTAAGATTGACGGTAGTGAAGTTACCACAAGATCATTCAAACTTAACATAACAATTCAACCTACTGCCCAAAAACTGAGATGTGATAGAGAATCAAATCACAGAGCTGTCAAATTTTAAAAAGGAAGGTTTTGAGAAGACTTACTCGGGTTTCCTTTAGATGAGTAAGAGAGCAGAGACTTGCCTGAAATTGTCATGGGCGTATGGGACCCTTCTCTGCATCCATAGAGAAACTCGAAAAAAATTTGAACTAACACACATCCTCAAACCGAAATAGTCCTAATTCCCTTCTAATGACAACGAATTGCTCGGTACCTAAAGGCTTGGTAAAAATGTCTGCCCACTGAAACTGTGAGGGGATAAATTCTAAGCAAATTTTATTTTCTTGGACTAACTCTCTAATGAAGTGGAACCTGATATCTATGTGCTTAGTTCTTGAGTGCTGAATTGGGTTCTTGGCGATGTTTATTGCACTCGTATTGTCACAGAGAATTGGCATGGGATTATCACACTTAACACCAAAATCCTGCAATTGATACTTTATCCAGATCAGTTGGGTACAGCATGATCCGGCTGCCACATACTCAGCCTCAGCAGTAGACAAGGCTACAGAGTTCTGTTTTTTGCTAAACCAAGAGACTAGAGAAGATCCTAGGAAATGACAAGCACCAGAAGTGCTTTTCCTATCGGTAAGACTACCTGCGAAGTCTGAATCGCTGTAACCTACCGGATCTAAGCTGGACTGAGCAGAGTACCAGAGTCCTAGAGATGCAGTTCCTCCTAAGTATCTGAAAATTCTCTTTACTGCTGAGAGATGGCTTTCTCTAGGAGAACTCTGAAACCGAGCACAAAGACACACACTAAACATGATGTCCGGCCTGCTTGCAGTTAAGTACAACAGTGACCCTATCATGCCTCTGTATAGTTTATCACTCACAGGAACCCCAGATTCATCCTTATCTAGTTTTAGATTGGAAGCCATGGGAGTAGAGGCAGGTTTCAAATTCTCAAGACCAAACCGATTAAGCATGTTCATCAAATACTTATTCTGATTAATAAAGATTCCTTTGGACGATTGGTTTACCTGAAACCCAAGGAAGTAGCTCAGTTCACCCATGAGGCTCATCTCAAAAGATTCCTTCATAAGAACTTCGAACTCCTTGCATAGATTTTCATTAGTAGACCCAAAAATGATGTCGTCCACATACACTTGTACTAACAAGATATCAGACCCTTTGGTTTTAATAAAAAGAGTTTTTTCAACCGAGCCTCTGTGAAAATCATTATTGATCAAGACTTCGCTTAATTTATCATACCAAGCTCTGGGAGCCTGTTTTAGACCATAAAGAGCCTTTTTAAGCTTGTATACGTGATTAGGAAACTTAAAGTCTTCAAAACCCGGAGGTTGGGACACGTAAACATCTTCTCTTAAGTCACCATTTAAGAAGGCGCTCTTCACATCCATTTGAAAAAGTTTAAAACCATTTGAACTGGCAAAAGCACACAACAATCTGATTGCTTCTAGTCTAGCTACCGGGGCAAAAGATTCCTCAAAATCTATGCCTTCCTCTTGGCAGTAGCCTTGAGCAACAAGCCTGGACTTATTTCTGATGATTTCCCCTATATCATTTGATTTGTTTTTATAAATCCACTTAGTTCCAATGACATTGACATCAACAGGCTTAGGAACGAGTTCCCATACTTTTGCTCTGTCAAATTGATTCATTTCCTCATGCATGGAAGCTAACCAAAACTCATCTAACATGGCTTCCTCTACAGATTTTGGTTCGATTAAAGAGACAAATGCTGTATGATTGGAAGAGGTCTTTGATCGAGTAGTCATACCTTCATGTAGCTTACCTATTACCAGAGATGGAGGATGTCGCTTGCTGATGTGGGGAGGTGGATGAAGTTCTTCATGTTCTGGTTCTGCCTCAATATTTCCTTCATTAGCTGCCTTATTTCTTTACTGCCATTGGCCTCAGCTTCGGTAAGTACGCTGCTTCTTCCAAGTCCGAAATCATCATCATCTGATTCTTCTGAAACCTCACAAACGGATTCGTCAAAAATAACATTTATGGACTCCTCAACCTTGAGGGTCCTTTTGTTAAACACCCTATAAGCTCTACTCACACCTGAGTATCCCAGAAAGACAGCCTCATCGGATTTAGCGTCAAATTTTCCCAAATTTTCCTTTGTGTTAAGCACAAAACACTTGCAGCCGAAAGGATGAAAATATCCTATATTTGGCTTTCTCCCTTTCCAAATTTCATACGGGGTTTTCTTAATACCAGACCTAATCAGGGCTCTATTAATGACATAGCATGCAGTGTTAACTGCTTCTGCCCAAAAGTACTTGGGAAGACCATAATCATTTAAGCAGAAAGAGTCAAAACTGTCTGAAATGAACTCACCACCATGATCACTTCTGATCCCTACTATCTTACCTTGCTTCTCAGTTTCTATCCGCTTGGATAACATTCGAAAGTTCTCAAATGCTTCATCCTTGCTTGATAAGAAAAGAACCCATGTGAACCGAGAATAATCATCTACTATAACAAAAGCATAGCTCTTACCTCCATAACTCATGATATTCGTTGGACCAAATAGGTCTAAATGAAGAAGCTCTAGAGGTTTAGTAGTTGAGATCACATTTTTACTTTTGAAACTCGACTTAGTGTGTTTACCTTTCGCGCAAGCATCACAGAAGAATTCCTTCTTGCTGTTGATTTTAGGTAGACCCCTTACCAGATCTAGGTTAACTAGTTTGGATAAAACCCCTACATTAACATGACCTAGTCTACGATGCCAATCATATTGATCATTCTTGTTTAAGGTCATCAAACATAGCTCTCTAGACAAGAGTTTATTGTCAAGATCAAAAACATAAACCTTACCTTCCCGTTTTCCTGTGAGCAAAATTTCTTTTGTCAATATGTTTTCTATGTAGCACACATTTGTCTCAAAGATGACCCTATTTCCTAGCCTACAAAGTTGATTAACAGAAATGAGGTTGTGTTTTAGATTATCAACTAACATGACATTGGAAATACTTGGACCACAACCTACTTGACCTAGCCCTATTATTTCTGCAGAATTATTGTCACCAAAGTAAACTTTACCTCCTTTACCTTCCTTGAATTTTGTGAACAGATCTCTATTTCCTGTCATGTGATGTGAGCACCCGCTGTCCAGGATCCATTTGTTTGTCTTCATGCTCACTTGAAGACAATCCTGTACTAATACTGGTCAACTTGTTTTTCGTACCCAGACAAGCTTGGGTACATTTTTCTTTAAGCATAAGTTATTACAAGAAAGAGATCTACTGCTGCTTGACGTTATTGAGTTCCTCTTTCGTGTTTCTGAGTTTATGCGCTTCAAACAATGTTTTATAAGGTGTCCTGGCCTATGGCAGTAGTAGCATTCTTTACTTGTACCATTTGCACTCATCTTAGGCTTTTCGAAATTACTCCCTGTCTTTTTCTTTCTGTAACTTTCCAGTTGCTCGAGAAGTTCCAAGTTTTTGGCTTCTAATTCTGCTACAGCCTGTGACAGTATGTCACATTTCTCCTTATATTCTTTAGCTTGTTCACCTAACTGTTTACATCTAGACGTGATTTGTTCATGATCTACTTTTAGTTTGTTATGTTTTACCTTAACTATTGCAAATTCTTGTTGTATACTCCTAATAGTACTAGTCATCAGATCATCATCACTATAATAGTATGATTCACTAAAGTTGGATAGTTTACTTACCTCGGAATGATGGTTGTCAGCCTCCTGATTACCGATAGCCATTAAACAGGTGTCCCTCTTGTGACACTGCTCCTGGAGATCATCTTCATCATCCTCGCTACAACTCCAAGTAGCTGTCACTGCCTTTTCCTTTCTCCACAATGGGCATTCTGCTTGATATGACCTTGTCTTCCGCATTTAAAACAACCTGACTGGAATTTTTCAGGTTGTCCAATGTCTCTTCTGCTTTTCAGATGAGTACGACCTGTATTTTGCCTTCCACCCCCTTGTACTTGTTCCTTTTCCGCTTCTTTGTCTCTGTACTGATGGGAGAATTGACCACGTCTTCTTTCCTTCCTCATTCTCATGAGCTGGGAAATATGTTTGCTCAGCATGGCGAGCTCATCATCATCCATGTCTTCATAGTTGTCGGATTCCTCCTCATAGACTCGAGTTCTGAAGGCTATTCCACGTTTGTCTTTCTTTAGTTCTTCACTGATTTCCCTCTTGAGTTTTTCCTCATACGTAGTTAAGGATCCGATTAGTTCGTCCACTGGTAACTTGCTTAAGTCCTTGGCCTCCTCGATAGCTGTTACTTTGGCTTCCCATTTTTTGGGCAGAGACCATAGCAGTTTTCGAACTAAGTCCCCACTCTCATAAGTGATTCCCATGTTTTCTAGACTGTTTACCGTAGTGGTAAACCTCTCATACATCTGCCTGATTGACTCCCCTTCTATCATTTTGAACAATTCAAACTCAGTCTTCAGAGCATTGATACGAGAGATTTTCACCTGAGAGGTGCCTTCGTAAGTGACTTGCAGCTTGTCCCAAATTTCCTTCGCTGTTTTGCATCCTGAAACCTTGTGATATTCTCCGGCCCAAGCGCGCAGTACATGAGGTTAGTGGCCTTGCAATTTTGCTGATGCTTATCTCGATCTTCATCTGTCCATTTTCCTCGATCGGCTTTAACCTCCAGCGGTCCGTCCATGACTCTGTCCCAAATCTTAGGATCTGTAGATCCAATAAAAAGTTCCATGCGATTCTTCCAGTACCCGTAGTTAACTCCCTCAAACCTGGGTGGCCGAGTTTGAGAGAAACCATCAGCAAGATACAACACAGCTCCATTTCCCGATCCAGACGCTATACTGTTATCTCCGGAGATTGTTAAATCTTCTTCGACGGAGCCGGGCTCTGATACCACGTGTAGGTGGCGTCGAGCGCGAGACGATCAGGGGTGCTGTTCGCTAGTTTCTTCTTCTTCCACACCTGCACAAAACCCTCGTCGCACCTCTCGACCAAGAACAAGTGAGATAACGAAGAAGAATCAGTTTTGATCGACCAAAGAGGGATTTTCCTCTTTGAGTTTGCTGCTGTGAATATGTCGATGGGCCTGAGCCCTTAATGCAAACACACCAAAGTCCACAGAATTTACTTGGACACAAGGCTATCTGATGCAACTCAAAGCCCAATAAAAGTACACTTTTAATGAATCCTTACCAATGCTAAAAACGGAGCGTTTCAAAAACCTGATACTGCCCTTCTTCTTCCTCTTGCTCGATCAACACACCCTGCACTTTAAGAAACAAAACCAAAACACCAAGAACAGAACAGAACCTAATTGAACAGAAATGCAGGAAGCAAGTAAACGACACTGCACACGAATTTTTACGTGGTTTCCAACGTTGAGAGAATGAGGATCTCAACGTTGACTAGTCCACGGTCGGAGTTATGCTTCTTGCGCTCTCCGACGATTCACTACGGATATGTCGATGAAGTTCTTTGTGAAAGTACAACCCTTACTAATCCCAGTCGATCAGCTACCCAGCACAATCGACTCACTCTTTTGAACCCCTCTATCAACTACCCAGCTAACAGAGTACCCTGATAAACCCCAATATCAGAACCCAGAAACCCTTACTGTTCCTGTGCTGACTTTTCACTCAACCCCTCTCTTGCTCGCACACTTTGCAGCTAGTCTTATATAATCACAATGAAAAGTCTGCCTCGCATACTAAGTTCCACCTCTATTTATATTCATCTCGATTCTATAGCCGTTGGACCAGAATCAATTCCTTTCCTTGCCTGTTCTTCTTCTTTCCATATGTGTTGTTGACGGTTTGAGACAGATTTCCCATATCTTCTGCCAGCTGTTGTTTATTGGATATTCCCTTGAGGTGAGAGCTGATTTCCTGATTGCGCGCTTGTGGATTTTGCTGAGTACTATTGCAAAGCTGCTCTCAACAATCCCAACATTCCTTATTATCACCAATTGAGCTAGCATGCTAATGTGGGAGTGATCAACACTTATGTTGAATCGACCCCGTCGTTGGATTTGTTTACAAAAATGCAAACGAGGGTGATTCAACAATATCAACACAAGCCAATCAACCCTCCACATGTGCACACTAGCTAGATTCCCTTATCACCAACACACAGATAAGTGGTAGGGTTGTAATGAGTTAAGCCGCTCGCGAGAAACTCGGTGTTCGAATCGGAGAAAAACTCGTTCGATACTCAGCTTGTTATTTAACAAGCTGACTCGTTAGCAAATGAGCCAAGCTGAGCTAGACCATACTCAGCTTGATAAGCTCGTGAGCTAGCTTGACTTGGTGACTTGTTGAGCTAAGCTTGCGAGCTGGCTTGTTTAGAGCTTGTGGAAGGATTAATTAGTCTTATGAACATGAACATTATCTTGTTAATACAGATATGTATGGAAGTTAGTTGTTATTTATAGTTTCTAGTGTTCTTTTTATGATTTAAAATCTATGTGTACACATTTTTCAGCTAGAATGATTTCAAATAGAGCTCATCCTGAGCCGAGCTCCTATGCAGCTTGACAAGCTGTGTTGATGAGCATTTATCGAGCTCTACCAAGTCGAGCTCGAGCTTGTTTATTTTTAATCAAGCAGAGCTCGAGCAAAATTATCAAAATTCGACTTCGAGCCAAGCTCGAGCTGAGAAATTTGTAAACAAACCGAGCTCGAGCTAAGCAAAAACTCGACTCGACTCGACTCATTTGCGGCCCTAGTGTTAGGCTAGGCTGGTAGCTAGAGACTCGACAACCTCATTAATTTCCAGTGGGTCAGCCAAAACTTCGCCAAACCCTAGTTGGCAAAGAAAACATGGAGGAATTTATAGCAAAATGGACCTAGAACATAATATTTGGTAATCTGGAGAAAGATTCTGAAATATATTACAACTCTTGCTCAAAGTTGGAATGCGAATGAGGAAATCAAGAGTGCAGAAATAGTGACAATGATACTTTATGATACACACATCGGAGGAGATTGGTTGTATTCATTCGTTCAGTTGAGGAAATTGAAAAGCACACTCCCTGAATTCTATAGTTCAAGGACCACTCAATTTCATAAACAACGCCAGAAACAGTGTACTTGTGCAGGCTTACACAAAACAGCCCCCACCTCTGAGAGAGCGAGGCATTGTTTAGTCGGGCAGTGCAGTTCCTCTCTCCAGATTGTTCTTAATCTCCAGCGTGTATTTACCGAAGGCTCGCTCGATCTTCTTGTTGAAGTGCTCATTACGATCGTTGATCGAGTCGATATCCTTCTCTTCATGGAATCTCCTCCTTCGGCTGAATGATCCGCGCTTCGCATCCCGGTCCTTGAGTTCCTTCACCATTCTGTCAACCTTATCCTCTGAGATCTTTGGGGCCTGGGGTCATTTCCAATTTCAGGAGGTAAATATAATTGTTCGCTATTTACAAAATCATATCTAACGGGAATCAAAAGATTCCAGGGAGGATTATTACCTTTCCGTATTGAAGACTTGAGGCGTCCCGGTAGAACTCAGGATCGGCTTCTTTCATCTTGTTATACTCTTCTAGATCCACATTAACATTCTTTGTCCTCTTCTTATATGCATTATACAGTGTCTTCTGATTGAAAACTGGTAGAACATTATGTACAATCAGTTTCAACTCCCATTGGAGATCAACGCATAAATGAAGGTGACTAAGAAGAAATGCAGACTTACCATCCCAACCAAATGGAGCAGGATCTTTGTCCCATTTCTTGTATTTGACTTCTGCTGCCTCTTGCGTATCCAGCATATACGCCTTTGTCATGTCCAAGTCATTTGCATCAAGAAGTTTACCGATCTTCCTCTTCCTCTCCTCGAGCCATTTTTGTTTGGAAATACCTCGAGACTCTTGAGGAGGTTCCAATCTCTTCTTTTCAGCCACCATAGCCATTTGATTGGCTTTCTTCGCCTCATACTGGATTTACAAACAGAGAAAAAAAGGACAATCAGAGGACGAGAAAAGGAAAGGAAGGTAGTGAGAACATATAGTCAAAAGGAACATCTCATGGAACAATCAAATCAAGATTCTTAGTTAAGAAGAACTTATACCATCTTACGCTTCAACTCGTACAGCTTTTTCCGCCTTCCGGTAAGTTTAGTAACATCTTCTTCCGGGAATTCCTCCACACCTTGGTCATTTTTGTCACTGTGGCTATCATCATCATCGTTAGAATCTGGTCTTTCGACAAGCTTCTCTGTCCTTTCATTGGCTTGATCATTACCAGCTTGAGCTTGCTTGAACTCTGATACAAATTGGTCAACAACCATGAGAACAGAACCACATAGCCAAGCGTGAATAAGCATAAACACCAATGAAGTTAAATTGAGCAGTCAAACTAAAAGGGGACTACAGATCCATTCATTCACAATGCCCGAAGGACAAAACTATCGACTTGGGATGAACAAGAACAAGAGGATCTTAATACCCCCTCATAAGAAGGGTCTCTCAAGCATAAGAAACTTCCATACCTGCTCTAGGTTTAGCTTCTGCAATCTTCTTGAAGCAATACTCTACACACTCATGGTAAGGATTCGTCGCATTTATACAGTCAGGGTGAGCTCTCCTTTCGTCGGCCATGTTTTCGCGATCACTATCGCCTTCCTCTGTCTGCCTGCACAAACCATTGCCAACTCAATCTTAGTTCCAGTTCCATCGCAATCACCATTCATAACAATTCATGGCAAACAAAAGGTATGATTGGATCTACTTCTTTACATATACAACTTCAATTAGAAATCAATAGGTTCTCCTGCGACCAATTTTAGTCAGATTGAGGGACACCAAAACCCTAGGAAACACAAACCCAATCTCCCCGCCTGCCTACTGGGACGCGAGCGAGAAACAGACGGCAGGAAGATAAGAAAGAAGCACGAATTATTTCGGAAGAGCTCCGCCTAACCTGATTCACGCTTTCTTTGGGCGCGGCCTAGTTGAAGATAGACGAAGATTCAAACACACCGGGAAAAAGTGCTGATGAAAGAACAATTGGGTTTTAGCGCCGGGAACATTATCGTCGCCGCGGCCGCCTTCGCTTAGGTGTTAGGACAAGGAAGAGAAAGTAAAGCGAGAGAGATGGGAGAAAGTAATTAATCGGGCCAATTTGCAGGCCCGGCCCAGTTGTTTCCAGTGTAAAGAGAAATAAATAAAATTGGGGAAAATTATATTCCGTTGCCGGGAGAAAGTAATTAATTGGGCCAATTTGCAGGCCCGGCCCAGTTGTTTCCAGTGTAAAGAGAAATAAATAAAATTGGGGGAAAATTATATTCCGTTGCCGGGACTTGAACCCGGGTCTTTCGGGTGAGAGCCGAATATCCTGACCAACTAGACTACAACGGATTTGCTGATGAGTATTCTATTTTCATATTTATGTCCAAAAGGATATTAAGATTACACTGTTTCACAACCGAATAGTCAGCACATAAACTCTACTTTGCAGATGATCGAACCGCCACATCAGCGTTAATTGTTAACGCTAAAAGTATAAAAGGTATTAGGAATGGTTTCGATTCATGGAAAGATCAAAATTTTACACTGTGTGTACATTGTACCCATCAAATATTTGATGGAGAAGAGGATCTTCCGTGTAAGACCCAAGTTTATCGAAGTCAGAACACTTCCGGCCCCTATAAGTTCAGCTCAGTTTACACTTTACAGTATATTCATGTGCAAGACAAGGCGAACACAAGCTCACAGTCGCTAGATGCTAAGATTGTGAGCAGTAGAGAGATTAGAGAAAACGAGACCAACTTTCCAGCAATAGCAAGCACAATGCTCAAGCTGCAATGGGTAAAAGCGAACTGCTTCAACACGAAACATAGTGCTCCTTGTTTTTCTGCTTCGTGATTCTCGTTTCTTTTTGGCGCCAGTTGGAAATTCTAAAGGGGGTTTTTGACGTCAACCCAGTATTTGCATTCTCCCACATAGTCGCGCTTGCCAATGTTATGTTGGCTTTCTGGGCCAATGTTGTGTTGCGTAACATAGCTACAGACTGGAGACGCCACCTCATATGAACAGGAATGCAACTGGCCTCAGTAATGATTAATGAGGCTGTTCAGTCCTAGCAACTTCATTATGAATGGAGCTTCGTCCTGCTGACTAAACTCTGCAATCCAGCCTGTTACAAAGTTTATAAAAGTGAATCAGTTCACTTTAAGATTTGAGTCATCATGTCGGCATCATAGACAAACAAACTGAGTTGTAGGAGGAGCAGAAAGCAAAGGACACTAACAAGCAGTCACTCTCCGAATGGTAAAAATCTAACACAGGCAGCTTACATGCCTATACGCATAAAACCTCGTTTTCAACAAGAATCTCAATTCATCGGACTAAGAACACTCTGTTCATGGAGAACCATTTCGTAGCTTCCTATATAACAGAATCCTGGAGCTGGAAGTCAGTTATGGTTCAGGGTCGAGTATTTACTCTAAGTTCCTATACAGTTAACATAGTCTGTTCATGGAGAACTGTTTCATAGCTTCTTACCATAAATTTTGAATCTCTAGCATCTCCATTCATGATCAGAAAGGTACGCAATATAACAGAATCCTGGAAGTCCATAACAATTTCTCCAATATCATGAATGTGAACTGCTAATTCCTCTAATAGACAAATGAGTCGCTGTAAACAAAAAGCAACCATTATGACGGCATTTCTACCTTGCAATGAAAATATTCACAGCATACCACTCATGGAGGTAGAAGACAGAGAGAAAGCAAATGACAAGAATGAAAGCCAATTGACATGGCGAATCTATAGAACTCTGGGATTGCAAGCCAACACCACATGATACAGGCAACTTTAGAATCAATGTGAGAGCAGAGAACCCAGTCATTTATTTGTCCTAGTTCCCTTTAAATGTTGTATAGAGCAGTTTCACAAAAAAAATACGACACTGGAATTGAGATTCCATTACACATCAATAAAATCGACATAAAATGAAATAAAAGAAAAGGATAATCACCTGTGCAGGTTTTTTGTATAGCCCTCACACCAGACAGTAGTGTACATGGCCTTCAATTGATCAGCCAAATCATTCACAACTGTGCCAGCAATGTCATGGCAAACCAATGGTTAAGCACAAATCTCGCAACTTCAGCTTTGCCAGTTCCCCCTTATCTTTTGAACTAGATGGGCATATCGCCCCTTTTCAACCATCTGCTCAATTATGCTGCGGGCTTCACGAAACTTCCCAGCACTCCTCAAATTGCTAACTAAAGTTCTGTAGACAAGAAAAGTCGGACTACAGCCTTTGGATTCCATCTCATTAAGCATAGAGATCGCCACCTTGTACTTCCCTGCCATACAATACCCACGAATCATTGAACTGTAAGTAAATGCATTTGGCAGCTGGCCGTTGGTGGTCATGTCATCAAACATGGCCTGAGCCTTTTCAAACTCTCCAGCCATTACATATGCTGTGATTATTACAGTATAACAAACAACATCAGGCAGACATCCATTCTTCTTCATCTCGTCCAAAAACCCTTCACATGCTTGTAAATTCCCAGCCCTACTCAGTCCATCTATTAGCGTGGTGTAGTGGAGTACACAAGGACCGATACCCTCTTCCTTCATGTGATTCAATAACTTATGTGCAGCTAATGGTTTGTTACCTTTACCAAGAACATGAAGAATTATGTTGTAGGTATGGAAGTCCGGTGAATATCCATTCCTCACCATCTCATCCACCACCTTCCAGACCTGGCCCAACTCCCCCAACCGATACTTTGCACACATTATGACATTATAAGTTAGAACATCCGGGAAAAGACCCTGGCCCAACATTTTCTGATGCACCCAGTCAATCAACCTGTAGTGACGAACTCCCAGAAGCGAGTAGATAATTGCATTATAAGAGTGCTTGAACGGCCTATAATTAAACGTCTTTGATTGAATGAACCTCTCTACAACCCTTCGAGCCAAACCTGCCTCAGCACAAGTACAAATTAATATGTTGAAAGTTCGTGCCGTAGTTGGGAAACCACTCTCGGTCATCTCCTCGACCACCCTCCACATGGCCATGAACTCATCACAGTCTGCAAAAATCTTCAATATCAAATTGTAGGAATTCACTGAATGCCTGTAATTGTCCTGCTGACCAGACCATACAAAGAACTTATACCCCAACTTCGCCCACCTCGCTTTGTTGTCAGGACTTATGGTCCTCAAAATCCCCACAAGAACCTCTCTCACAAGAATCCACGACACCTTTATGTGAAGCTCGGTTAACGCTGCTTTGGTGTCGACTCCAGGACCATCTTGCCTTAGAACTTCGATCACACGTTCAGCCTCGAACCTACCTCGCTGCCTCTGGGACCAACGACTCTCGATGTGGGTTTCCAACTCACTTCCAGAATCGGGCCCTGAATCCCCCCACGTACTCTTCAGGGGCTCTTCAATCAACTGGAACCCATTATCCATCATCGCATCCCCATCAGAGCTATAGTCACACAATTTCCTCCAAACTCCCACCATACATGGAACTCTATGAACAAACCTCGTACCAAATAAGGCTACGACGTTCATCCTTTAACAAGATTAGACCCATTGTTACAGAGAACTCTCCACAGTCGAAGAAACAGAGAAGAGTGTAAACTGCAGATTGGTGGCAGACCTCGATGCAGAGAGCTTTAAAAGCCTTATGCAAATTAATAGGGAGACACCCATCAATTTTTGCAAGCAGCCCAATCGCAAACGAAAGATTCTAATTCCAAATTTGAGCTGGTTCCCGGATTCAACCTTTCGATTAGTAAAAATGCAGAACAACAGTCATTACATGCTCCTACTGAAGTAACGGCGCACCTGGAAAGGAGAGGAAATTTCTGTTCCGCAGAGAAGAAATCGGAGATTGTACTCTCTACCTTCTTATTCAGGAACTGATGGAGTGGCGTCAGAGGACTGAGACTGAGAGGTTGGAGCGTACGGCGAAAAACCCCTCGCTGCCTGAGAGGGGTTAGGGAATTCGATCTGCTGCACCCAACATCACTGGTACTCGGCCGAGTATTGGGCCGACTCGTCGATCAGATTCCGGTCTGATACGCGGCGGATAAGGACTAACGGAGGAAATGAACTGCAGATCGAAGAGCCCAACAAGGTTAAAGGAAAGTTGGTGCAGGCCCACCTACTGATACATGACTCGTGAGGGAAGAAACCCGACCCGATCCATCTGACCAGGATAGGCGCTTGAGTGACTAACCTATTTTTTCATCAAGATTGAGGTTCAATACTTAACCCTGACCCGGCCCGGCCCGACCCGACCATGAAAATTGGGTAGGGTCAGTTTTTTACTTTTGTATAGGGTCAGTTTAGAGTCTAGTCATCTCTAGATTCTGTAATGGTTGGGTAGCGTCGGGTCATTTTTTGGCCTTGTGCTTGTTTGTAAAGTTTTAAAAGTTTAGGTACTATAATACAAGGTTAAATATCAAGGTACTAAAATGTAATTTTCACCAAATTTTATGGAGCTATTTGTAAACAATTTAACTTTGGGTAATAAATTGTAAAAAGATAAATTTGAGTACCAAAATAAATGTTTTAAAAATATTGTGTTGATTGATTTGAGTCGACAGACCGACCCTCTAAGATCAGGTCAGACAAAGCAAAATAGGAACAGGGACGAGTTGGGCAAGTTTTATAAATTGACTCTATAGAGGCGGGTCAGAAAAAATTGTTATAGCATCAGTGACGGTTAAAACATGGTTTCAACCCTATTCAATAGTGTGTATGGTTGTTGAGTGCGTGTATATGTTAGATAATTGTATATGGTATATGTTGGATAATTGTTATAGGATCAGTGACATTACATTACACCACCTTATAAAAAATCAGAGCATTGAAGTGTACCACTATAAATTTTCTATAACAACCCGAACCTTTTCCCAACAAGATATCCCTATTTGGGTTCAGATTCTCATGGATTTTTGCCTTGGGGTGCATATCAAGATGACTTCTCATTCCCATAAGGTCGTCTATCCTTGTAGTGCTACATAGTGAGCACATTTAACTTCGGAGTTCTCACAAGAACTCCTCTATTTCACCACAAAACGTGTCTTGTCAGTTAAGGTCGTTTCTTACTTATGAACCATGGATCTCTCCTGTACTTTTTCAATGTGGGAATCGCCTAAGGTGTTACGTACACTACCTTTGGTACTCACACCTCCCTTTGGGACTCAACGTTCTCGTTGAGGTTTGCTTCACCATCGTTTAAGAGGAATGCAGAGAGGCTCTAATTCCACTTATAACATCTCAAACCTTTTTCCGACAAGATATTGTCCACTTTGGGTCTAGCCCTTGCGGATTTTGCCTGGGAATGCATATCAATGTGACTTCCCATAAGATCACTCATCCTTATAGTGATTTACAACGAGCACATTTAACTTCAGAGTCTTGTCAGTTAAGGCCTTTCTTACTTATGAATCATGGATCTATCATGTCCTTTCTCAATGTGGGAATCACCTAAGGTGTTACGTACACCTCCCTTTGGGACTCAACGCTCTCGTTGAGATTTGCTCCACCATTGTTCAAGAGGAATGCATAGAGGCTCTCATACCACTTAAAACATCTCAAACCTTTCCCTGACAAGATATTGTCCGCTTTGGATCGAGCCTTCACGAATTTTACCTTGGGGGTGCATATCAAAGTGACTTTTCATAAGATCACTCATCCTCACGGTGTTTCAAAATGAGCACGTCACCAAATTTTTTGACTCAACAATTCATTTGCCACATGAGAGTCAATAAATAATTGACTAGACGAAAGTTAATAAGTTGTATGTTAAATTGTTTTATCAACCTACTAAGTTGTTTTATTATAAAGATGGGTTATTATTTTGTTTATAAATTTTCTTATCTTATAATGATTAGATTTCCATCCAACCCGATCCAAACAATCTACACTACTTATAGTACATTTTAAAGAGTTTGATTTGCTCAATTTCAAGTTTCTTGCAACGAGAATGAAAGTAGGAAGGGTATTTTTGTCTACGCAATCAATTTTTTATTTCATATAAAAAGATATCAATGCTGGGATTTGAACTGTGTATGTTTCATCAAAGACAAGAATTGTAACCAATTAGACTAGAAACATTTGTTTTTCTTTATTAATACAAAACATCGAGGAAGTTAAAATTATGAAAAACAGAGTACTTTTCTATCACGGTGACTTAGCCTGCTAAGTCTCCTGTAAGTATTTTGCGGTGTTTGATAATTCTATTTTCATATTTTAATAATTAATTTAGAATTTTTCTAACTTATAAATGAAGGATATCATTGTTTTGTTAGGTAAAGTTCAACAAACTCAATCAATATTTGAACTCTTTGAAGTAGCTATCTACATGCGAATATGAAGTACTGAGTAACTAAAACTCTACTTGAGTTAGTTCAATCTTTTGCGCTATCGATTCAAAATTCAATATATGATTATCTTATTACAATTTAGTCATACTAATTGTGCAGTAGGGGACATCTTATCAAAATCGTAAAGAAAGACTCTTTGATTGATCGCTTTCATGATGTAATCAATTATACCAAAATATAAGTGACCAAATTTATAAGATGCTCTCAATGTTTGCTATAATTATTGAGGTTCAACAACACGTTAGGCGTACGGCGATCATTGAGCATTTTTCTATCTCCTAGCTCGCCTAGACATGCTTAGACATTATAATAAAAATATCAATTTTTAATAATAATGAATAAAATAACAGTTCTGAAGCACTTTAATACTTTAGTTCAAATGATTTAATAACAAACGAAATAACTCTCAAGTTTATAAATTATTTTATTTTACCAAATGATATAATTAAATCGCGTTAATTGCATGGCTGGTCACTGAAATTACAAAAAGCGTTCATGTTTGGTCACTGTAAATATTTAAATCCACTTTTGGTCACTAACTTTACAAAAACCGTTCATTTATGGTCACTCTCCGTTAGCTGCCGTCCAACGCCGTTAACGACGTCCGTTAAGTGATGACGTGGCTGACGGATTTGCCTAATCAGCACTTTTTAACTCCAAAATTGATCGACCGCCACATCATTTAAACCCGCCATGTCAGCTAAACCTAACCAAACCTCTACCCAAACCCGACCAGACCCGCTAACTAAAACCAAACCAAACCGATCCTGCTGCGGGTCCAGGTGCTTCGGCGCGCCGTTGTTGTGGAACGCCGAGTTCTCGAAGTCCTGGTGCATCGTGTCGTTGATTATGGATTCCAGGTGGTGGAGGATGGTTTTGGAGTGGTTGGAATGCACAGAGAGCACGGTTTCGATGAGTGGGGAATCGACCGCGTCTTCGATTTGGGAGATTAGGGCTTTGCAGAATTGTTTGACTGAGAGTCTGGATTCGGCCACCATTTGGAGGAACCCTTCCACCATTGCTTCGTCGGTCACTGGGAGAATGGATGGATGATGATTCGAGTTGTTATTTTGTGAGTACCCATCGATTGATTTGGCTCGCCCTTTGGATCTCGTGGCGGATTTCAGAGCCTTCTTCAGCTCCTCGCAGTAGCCCTCCAGGTGTTCGATATTTTGCCTCAGTGGGCCTAACGAAGCTCTCGTCTCCGCGACTTCTGTCAATGTTGCGTCCCTAGTTTCATTCGATTCCCTCAACTCCCTCCGCAGATTCTCGATCGACAGCAAACCCAGTTCCCCGAATGCCTGCGAGACCTCCTCGGACTCTGTTCTCACCGGCGAAGTGGTAGCTACGTTCTTCGTGGGCTTCGTCCTCAGCCTCGAAACAGCCACGACATCATTCCTTTGCTCCTCGGCTGAGACTGGACGGAAGCGTGGGAATCAGTCAATGGAACTACGATGTTGGAATGGATCTTGCTCTTTCGATTCTGAGCTTCGAAGTCTGATATTGCGCGGGAGGGGTTGTTGCAGGAGGATGACGATTTGAAGTCTGCAAAGTTTAGTCCTCTCCTTGATTTGTAGAGCTCTGCTGCTGTCGTCGTTGTTGTTACTCCACCGCCGGGGGAACTATGGAGAACTGTGATGTTGTTGATGCAGGGTCCGGTGACGGATTTCTGATCGTCGGCGGAGTGGATCCCTTTCTCCTTCTTGAAATCAGACAAAACGGCCTCGTAGCTCATTGTCCCTCCACCTCCTTCTACGCCGCATTCGTCCCAGCTTTCTGATGCTGTTCTTGATTTGGCCGACATCGAGTACTGACTCCCTGGAAATGGCTCATCCTCGTAGCTCTGTGCATTGAAAGTTAAATTCGGTAAGGTTCATTTCTGTTCTTGATTAGGGTTTTAGTGAAACAATTTTGGGGGTCTGGTTTGGTTTGGTTTTAGTTAGCAGGTCTCGTCGGGTTTGGGTAGAGGTTTGGTTAGGTTTAGCTGACATGGCGGGTTTAAATGACGTGGCGGGTCGGGTCAGTCAATTTTGGGGTTAAAAAGTGATGATTAGGCAAATCCGTCAGCCACGTCATCACTTAACGAATGTCGTTAACGGCGTTGGACGGCAGCTAACGGAGAGTGACCATAAATAAACGGTTTTTGTAAAGTTAGTGACCAAAAGTGGATTTAAATATTTATAGTGACCAAACATGAACGCTTTTTGTAATTTCAGTGACCAACCATGCAATTAACCCTAATTAAATCATTCATGAGCTAAAATAGCTAATTATAAGCACTTTAAATTTAAGTTAAAACTCTATATGATACATTTGTTTGACGAAATGAGTTTTATAATAGAGTGGTTTATCTAGAGAGGTCTCTAAGAAACATGGCTTACTTTATTATTCCTTAGGTGGATATAATATCTATCTTCATCGTTACTTTTACATTGGATTCAATTTAGCATACTTTTTCGTTTAGATAGATTTTTTTTTATGATGTTTCGGGATATAATATATCATTATATATGATGGTGTAGGATATTAATTCCTCTCATTTTAGGTTCAAATTGATGTGTTTTCCCCTTTACCGTTCCCTTTTATTGGTTAATAATTTTTATGATATTTTTCACTTTGAATATTGTGAGCAGAATCTATACACAACAATTTATGTTTTTTGCTTTCTCTTTTCTTGGTTAGATATTTTGTCTATATTAATTCTTACATTGATTATCGAATTACTACTTTTTTGTTCTTTTTCTGATGCAATATATGATTTTATGTTTGATAATATAGATTTATTTTTTCAAGCATGTGGATGCTTGAGACTTCTCATTTGCAATGATGTAAAATTTATGAAACTAAGATGCATATTAATAAACAATGTAAGGTCTCATCTTCCCTCTTAAGCACTACATATCATTGTTTACTTACTATTGAATCAAAGTCTTTCTAACTTGAGTAAGAGCTACAATGACTTTTATTGTTGTGGATTTCCCCCAAAACGTTAGGTATGCTGCTTTTAGTTATTTAGTTTTTGTGTGTTGCTTTATTAGTTGAACTTGCCAGATGGAGATCTGCATGATTTGTTTCATTATATCATTGAATACACTAAAGTCAATGAAACCATGACTGTGTAAGTTGGTTTGTTTCTTTTTAAGGACACTCTAAATATATACTTTATTTCATTATATCATTGAATACCCTAAAGTCAATGGAAAAGGCAAACAAATTTATCGTATACTGAAGATTTATTATGCATGTATGATGTAAAACAACTCTTATCATTGTTCTTCTTAGACATTTTTATATAGATATGACCTTGTTTGCAAATATGTATTTATGTTAATGTAGTTGGACGTTGTTTGTCATTTTTAAACTTCATTAGTCAAATACATTAAATACTTTCTTATATTATTTATGGAGAACTTACCAAATTAAATCGTTACTTCAATCTCCAACAACATGAACCATAAAAAATACCTCAATGTTTACAGTTTACTACACATATATATGAAAATCAAACTCTCCCGGCCAAGAGGCTGGGCCCTAATCTATTGACTTAAGAAATCGTTTACATTCTTTCCAACTCCAAGCCCAAACTTCTTCCAAGTTCTCATCCGTTCCCTTCTTTGCCTCGCCGGAGGTTTGACAAGGGTGTCGGTGTCGTAGCTGGACATTTCAAACTTCGCTGACAACAGCTCCTTGTTGCAATTGCACTGCTGGAATGACTAAACCACTGAGTAAAGATAACAACGGCGACCCAAGCAAGGGCCCAACAAGTTTACCCTTTCCATAAAATTGAGCCCAAATTAAATGGCAGCTCTACTAGGAAGATAATTCCACTTTTCGTACCCCCTGATGAAGATGATGCCTCCATGCCCAAGGTCTTCCCTGCCAGATGATTCCCGATGAGCAACAGTTTTTCAAACGCCGCCGCGTCACCCTCCATCCATGCGATCGTTGTCTGCTTAACCCTATACGCACTCAATTTATTGTTCGCGATAGTTTTTTTTATTGTTTAAGCAATGACAGTTAAGTAATTTTGTACTTTTAAGTTAGGGTGATCAATAAAACGTCGTCATTCAGTAGTTCATAACACCATCCAACGGCCCTAATCTGCCCGCCATATGTCAATTTATTGTTCGCCATAGTTTTTTTTATCGTTTAAGCAAGGACAATTAGGTAAATGTGTATTTTTAAGTTAGGGTGATCAATAAAACGTCGTTCAAAACACCATCCAACGGCCCTAATCTGCCCGCCATATGTTCATTCATGCAGAGGAGAAATAGAAAGGCAAGTGGGAACCTGGGAGGCTGAAACAAAATATATTGTTCGCCATAGTTTTTTTATTTATTGTTTAAACAAAGATAGTTAAATAATTTTGTACTTTTAAGTTAGGGTGATCAATAAAACGTCGTCATTCAGTAGTTCAAAACACCATCCAACGACCCTAATCTGCCCGCCATATGTCAATTTATTGTTCGCCATATTTTTTTTATTTATTGTTTAAGCAAAGACAGTTAAATAATTTTGTACTTTTAAGTTAGGGTGATCAATAAAACGTCGTCATTCAGTAGTTCAAAACACCATCCAACGACCCTAATCTGCCCGCCATATGTCAATTTATTGTTCGCCATAGTTTTTTTTATAGGTAAGCAAGGACAGTTAAGTAATTTTGTATTTTTAAGTTAGGGTGATCAATAAAACGTCGTTCAAAACACATCCAACGACCCTAATCTGCCCGCCAGGGTGACAGGCGGGAATACTCACCATTATACTAACGCTGTTGCTGGGGAGGCTGAAACAAAATATATAAAACAACAGTGTTGCCGGGGATCGAACCCGGGTCACCCGGGTGACATGCGGGAATACTCACAACTATACTAACGGCCCTAATCTGCCCACCATATGTTCATTCATGCAGAGGACAAATAGAAAGACAAGTGGGAACCTGGGAGGCTGAAACAAAATATATAAAACTACGCCGTTGCCGGGGATCGAACCCGGGTCACAGGCGGGAATACTTAACACTATACTACAACGACAATGTTGTAATTTGGCATGCTATGTCTTATTAATTCTATAGTATGGCGCGAGTTTAATATAAAATGGTCACGATTTACAGAGCAATGCCGCGAATTTTGATTTCGTTTTCTGGAAGAGCAGAACGTTGTCCCGCTTCTTCTTTCAGGTCTCTCTCTCCCTCGTCCCTCCCAATCTCGCAGAGTCGACTTGGTGCGTTTCGGTTGGGCGAGGAAATGCGAACTCGTTTCCTGAGCATAGACTACTTCAGATCTTGTTCGTCTTCGTCTTCTTCCGTCGAAACCCTAAGTATCGTTGAGCTCCCGGTTCCACCTCGCTACTCCGCGTCTCTTCAATGAGGAGGAGGATTTCCATGGCTGCGAAGACGTCGCTGCTTTTGCGCTCGAGATCGGGAAATTTCCTATCGAAGCTGCCATATTGAGGTTTATTGCGGAAGTAGTGCCTCAATTCGTTGATACTGTAAATTTCGGAGATGTCTGGTGTGGAGAAGATGGACGAGGTTCAGCCGGCGATCTTTGGGCATTCGTCCTCAGAAGTGATCAGAATAGATTCCACAAGGTAGATTTCAGTACACTTCGAATGATCGCCTGCATGAATGCTTTTCTGTACAGTCTGTGATGCCAATTTGAATCTCGAGCTGTGAGAATGGAAGTTCAAATTAAACGAGTGATTGAAGTACTCTTAGTTCTGAGAAAGATAGGCGGAAATCGTAATTATGTTACATGAAATGTCTTTTGTATCCCGTTCAGTGGACGCAGTTTGATCTATTTTGCAAGGGGAGCCAAGAGATCTGACCACAACGACGAAATTAGATCATAAGTTACTGAGAGAATCACAGTATGTTGTTAATTTCATTATTATGATCGTTAACTGGTAGAGAACTCTATGCAATTTGATTGCAGAAGGAGGACAACAATTTTGTGGCAGATGAGAGCACGGAAGGTCATGAAGTCATCCTGTTTGAAGCACCAGAGGTTGATGCATTTGTGGTAAGCTGGTAGTTCAGAAATCAATCATCCGGATAGATCGAAATTGCTTGTGTATGAAGTTTGTAAATTTATGCATATTGGTTGAATGACTGCAGGGAGAGAGACACTCGTCTGTGGATGGTTTGCAAAGTCTTTCTGAAGTTTCATACACTGAGAATAAGCTGGTAAATATATGAGCATATCACGCTAGCTTTAGTCATAATGTCTTGGATTGGAATCAGATTCTGATGTGTTGGAATGCTTATCAGCCTTACATGCTCCGTTTCAGTGTTTGTACCATCTAGTGAACTTGGTGTTTTGGTTAGTTGGTCCTTTTGAGTTTTTCTTTTGCTGGTTATTGGTGATGGATTTTCCTCACTGAGTTGTAAATTTGTTATGTTTGGTTGTCTCCGATCAATGCTTCTCTAAAAGACTAGAACGTTAGCTTGTGTTCTTCTGAGGGATTATTCATTTAAGGACAGTCTCTGTTGTCCTGCTCGTTGTGTTCTTTCGGTGTCACTTGTGGGTTTCATTATAATATCCTGCAGGGTTTGCATTTATGTTTATTTGATTCATGTTTACTTTCTTGTCATATAATCTCACAACAGGTACTCGATTCCTTTAGGCTTAAACAGGTGATACTTAAAGCACACGAAACTCTCTCAAAAAATCAAAATATATGCTCTCCTTTGATCAAATGGAAATATCAAGACACTGAAACTCTCTCATATATTAACTTTCAAATTGTACATCTGTAGCAGGCTGATTTTTGCATTTTAGAGGACTGATGTTGATACTTCAACCTCTTTAAGGAACAATGCCTGCATGATGTGAAAACATATACTTTATGAACGCATTTTCCCTGACGATTTTATCAATTTGTAAAATTCGGGTCCTGATGCCGGAGAAACTGGTTGATTGCTCTCACCATGGAATAGTAAGGAAGGAGCAGCACTCAACATTTGTTTACTGGTCTTACAGCAAGAATTTCCTTTTAGCTCTTCTTACCATTTTTCAGGTTGCGTACAGTCATGACCAACTGTTGCCTTTCTCCTTCTACCTCAGCAAATTTGAGGCTTATATCCGAATATCTCACCTCCATTTCTTTCAATTCACTTTCCATGCGTCTGTTCCTTTCCTTGATTTGTGCCATCTCATCCAGCATTTCTGTCAGGTTGCAGTTTTTCAGTTGTTGATCTGTGCGTGTCATTGCTTTCCTGTAGAAAAAAAGTATTGAGAGGATTACTTATGCGAGGCAGCTATGCGAAGTGCCGAGTCTGATTGCATAGAAATTTGAACTAACAACTGGCCTATTGATGCACGCAAAAAACCCATCATAAGTTCAGAGGAAAAGGGGGTAAACTTTACCATTTATCAACGGCTTCATTATCTGAGAGCAAGAGATCATATTCCTTCTTCTGTAGCTCCCAATTCAATTGAAGGATTTGCTTCCGCAGGTTCTCTTTCTCTAACTCCTCTTCTGACAGGCTATATATGAACTTCTTATGTTGATCTTTCAGTTCTTCTACTTCCAGCTGTAGCCTCTTCAGCATTGTCTCCTTTTCATCCTTCAACGACCTCATGTTTTCCAACTCTTTTCGAACCTTTTCTGCTTCTTGGTTTGCTGATGTATATTTTCTCTCCAATTCTTTTTTCCCTTTGCTCTGTCTTCCAATCTCTATTGCTGTTTCTCCAAGTGATGCCTGCTTGGAGGTGTCTGCTGTTGTGAGTGTTTCTATTTTAGCTTTGAGCATTTGAATTTCCTTAGAGAAAGCTTCTTGCCTTCCTTTTCCTTGCTTCTGCTCACTTTCCAGCTGCATCGACTTTTCTTCTACTTCCAATGAAATCTCTTCCATCATTTTTTTCCTGAGATCAAGTTGAGTCAATAGCTCTTCCACTCGTACTTTGTTCTGGTCTCTAATTACTGCAATCTCTTCATAAGCTTTGTTAAGCTTTTCTTCCATGGTCCTATTCTGCTCCCGGAGCTTGTCTGATTCCATTTGAGCACTTGTCATACGCTTCTCATTGTCTTCAATTTTTGCGGCCATTTCCTGTGAAAGCTTTTTAAATTCCTCCTGGAGACGCTCTGCTGTTACAACATTTTTCCACCTTGTCTTCCTCAAGGCCTCTTCTGAACGAATAGCTCTTTGTTCCTGCTCGATTTTGGCCTGGGTCAAATCATCCAGATCTTTCTCGAATCCCACTGCCTGCTTCTCAAGTTCCTTCTCCAATGCTTTGACTTGACCTTCAAGTTCATTGATATGGAGCAATGATTCAGACTGCTCTTCTGTCTGATCTCTCATCTTCTGCTCTACTCTCCTTAGATGTGATTCAAGTTCTTCGATAGTCGCTAATTGTTCAGAGCGTTCATTTTGTGCCTTCAAATTTTGTTCCCTGTTCTCCTCTAACTCAGAGGTTATCTCAAGGTTTTCTTGTTTTAGGTCCTCATAATCTTGTGTGAGTTGCTCTATGTACTTCTCCAGCCTTTCCCTGCTCTCTTTGTAGGCCTCTATTTCATCGGACATGTCAATTATCTGTTCTTTCAGCGCTTCTCTGGTAGTGGTATCATCTTGATATTCATCGGTTTCTGTGTTGCATCTACACTTTTGGCAGTGAACTTCTTTATCCCGCTGACTTGATTCTTCTAGCTTGCTGGAAAGCATAGATATTTCCATGCTTTTCCCCTTCAACATATCATCAAGGTCCTGCACAGCCAGAATCAATTCCGAATTTGATTCTTGTGTTTTCTGTAGCTGCAACTCGAGATTGACCTTTAACTCCTTTTCGTGGGCAAGCTCCTTCCTCATCTCTTCTATCTTCACCCTTGACCCTTCATTTGATGTCTTTACTCGGTCCAGAGCCTCTGCTTCTACAGTCTTCCTCGAGAACTTGAGTTGTTCGCATTCTCTCTCCAGTGCATCTCGCTCCTCCTTAATGTCCATCATCTCTCTTGATAATTCTTGTGCTCTTTTGGTTTCTTTCGTTACTTGTTTCCGAAGAGTCTGCAATTCCATTTCTGATAACTCTGACTGACGCATGAGACCAAAGATTTCACTTTTAAGCTTCTGAATGGATTCATCTCTAGCTTCATGGAACTGTTTTGGAACATTATTATCATCACTAGGGCTGTTTGTTGAATAAACTAAACTTTCATCTGATGCCGATGCCATTGACCATTCTGTGCTAGATCGTCTGTGTAGGCGGTTCTTTGTTGTTGTTGAATTTGCATCAACCGATGCCCTCTGAGGCATTGAGTTTTGTCTTCCAACTGACTTGAAGCTGCTTTCATTAGAGCCATTGGATGCTTTGAAGTTGTCCTCTTGTTCAAAGTCATCTATTTCCTGCTTCCATGACAACAATGAAATTAGTACTTCAGTATGACATGGCAGGATACATCATCCGTCTATAATAAAAATGTTAAAGATGTGCTAGTGAATGACATGGAAAAGTGGATCATATAAACCTACTTCTGCAAAATTCTTGTCATCTATGTCTGAACGATCATTGCTCGATAGGCTCATCAACCTTTCATCCTGATGTAGTGCTGCTTCTCCATTACTTGCCCTGTTTCTGAAATACTTTCACAGAATTGCATATTAATATAGCAAAGCAATTCAGGCCACGTGTGCAAGTAAAAGTCCGGTAGAGAGCAGAAGAAAAAGAGCATTATCAGTTTTGTGTGTACCTCTGATCGATGCCTCCTTGAATCTTATGAATTGTTATCTGTTTCATTGATGCAGAAATATGAATTTGTTATGAGTGGAAAATGGTTCGATTGGAGCGAAAGACAAAATACAAAATTAGTAATCTTCTGGTTATAAACATGTAATTCTTGTGCGAAAAGGAGCGGGGCATACATGTAAAACTGCACCAGAATTTGCAAACTTCAGTGGCAGAGAAACAGTCATTGGTTCATTTTCGTCAGCAAAATCTGCAAAATCAATTGAAGATTCTCCAAGATAATCTTTCTTGGCTGATCCCTGCAAAAATGGTCAGCAGGAGTCAAGCTTCAAGCAGAGGAAGATACAATACGAGACTGGTAAGTGCAGAAGCATGGCTTACACTAGCAACAATGAAGTGATATATTTTCTCGTGCAGCTTTCCTGTTTTGGGCTCCCTGACGAGTTTAACTGTCACATATATAGGATTCTCCCACAAGCAGTTCCCATCTTGAACTGCAGTTTTCTGCAACTTGAATGTGGGCTTCCCAACATCCTCCGGCACTAAAGCCACAGTCAGAGCAGGCTTCTTCATCTGTGGCACCTGAGAAATGCCGTTTGCAGAACCAGTGCGACAGTAAGTCACTCAAATCACTGGATCAGGTGACCTCATTGTACAACTATGCATAAACTAGACATCCATCTTTGACTAGTCTTAAGCAAAGCCCACTAGAGATTCGGCAGCAAGAAACTGTTTTTCTTAACGGATTCATACCTGGGTTGCCTGAAACTGCAGCTGAAACACAGCTTTGAACTTCTTCTCCTTGCTCCTCCATGACTTAAACATGTTTCCTTCCCGTTCAGGCTTCCACGCCTACTTCTGGGCTTTCTCAAAGAATCCTCATGAAAAGGCTCACCCACCTGGGGAACTTCTGTGTGACAGATTTTTATCTCAGTTACGGCCAGGCGCAGAAACAATGCCTGGTCCTTCGCGAGCAACTGGGCAATAGTCCAGAAAGCACAGGGAGAAAGCAAAGGAGAAGAAGACGGCAGGTGATGTCCTTTTGTGGCTTTGTTAAACTATAGCTCAGTTTGTCTAATTACGTTTGTAAAAAAGAACCCGTTACAGTATGAAGCAGGGAAAACTAAAACCAACTAAAAAAAAAGGACATGAGCCCTCTCTCCCTCTGACTTTACTGCTGTATTATTGCGCAAAACTAGCTGGATTTGCTCCCAATTGTTATTTTATGGCTATGGATCCTGGTTTTCTTTTTAATGCAGGAAAGTACTACTACTAGGAGCTGGAGATTAAAGACACCAATGACCCTGCATTTCGGTGATATATCTCCATCTGCCACCTCAAGGTCTCCTGGTGAAATCTCATATATATCCCTCCCTAGAGAATCGTCGGCGACAGGGATGCCAATGTGTCGGAGGCAAAGAATTTCATTCAGACACTACACAGAAAGAAAGTGTGCCCTCTTAAAGTCGAGCTCAACCGTTCCACACAAGAGAGGTATTTAATTTTTCTCCAACCAGCTACCCCCCACCATTTAATTGACGCAACTGCATTCATCCGTATATACTGTCCCCAATAATTGCGCTGAAACATGTTTTGCTCTGCGTGAAAGGCCTAGAGCGAGTAGTCAAGATATTATTAGGATTATGCCATTATGCTCCATCAAAGTTTTCTAAAGATTCCTCAGTTACTGCCTATTGTAGTTTAATTGGTAGATGGCCATTATGGCCATGATCAGTTCGGAGTTGAGACCTGCCAAAATAAATAGGAGTTTGTTGAAGATGCCAAAAATCCGAGGTTGGTGTAGTTAGAGAACTAAAATCATGTTATTCGATTTTGATTCTTGTGATTCATAATCGTTAGATACATGTGGTGACAATCATACATGTTATGGGTAGTAAAATGTATGATCCAAACGGTGTTAAGTATTGGACAAAAAAATCCAGTAAACCTTGCACCTAAATTTTGTTTTTTTCCCCCCTTCCTATGGAGACGTGGTCGGCCCCAGAAAAGGCACCGGATGCCTTTACCTTCCGCAAAGCTGCAGCACATCCTCATCGTGTTCCAGCAATGCAAAATATTAGAAAAAAGGCCTGCCCCATCTTTGGCTTGGTTGCATTATTTGTGGTCAAAACAACACTCAAGTTGGCCTGTTATTATGTTAAAGCACGTGGTCACATGTGCTATGACCACTTTCTCTTTCCTGCTTGCAGCTTACCCCCTAATCCGATGATTACTATCTCGATCCAATTACACAAAACAAAGCCATGTTTCTTCATGTACTCATAGACAACGAATACAATACGTGCGTGGGATCAGGGATCTCACCTGGGTTTTCTATTTTGTGTCTTTTACTTAATCGAGATGGGTCTTTTTCCCCACTTCAAATGAACATATCTGTTCTTTCACTGCTGAACATTCACACAGGATGAAGTCAACTACCAACGGTACTACACCATTTACTGTCAGAGCCGTAATAAAGGGAATCTGCTGCATATCTCTACATCGCACGAGTCAACTCGTCCCGGAAACGGCCTCAGCTGAAGCTTCATGATGGTTATAAGGTACACGCCATGCTTCTTTCCCTTTACCCAACTGCAAGTCTGCAACTGCTAATTTACTAATTGCATCTCAATTCCTATTAGCCTTTTCCCCATTTTGCTATGCTGTTACTGTTACCATAGCTTGCTCTCTTTAACTGCCAAACCAAACACACGGGGTTTGGCCAGGAAAGCTACCCGCTAGCTTTCTGTACAGGACCAGTTTCGCTGCCCATTGCTTCTTTACTAGCCAGATTGTGATTGAGGACAACAGTTCATCCCACTGATTTTTCTAATGCATTTCCATGCCTTCCAGTCCCAATCAATTCAATATGGTCTCACTGATATTCTCTCCCTTCTTGTGATATAATACAAAATCAGCACCCACCATATTCCTCCCCATTTAAGAAGGTTTTTGATTATTTTGAGTTAGCCAACCATATTATACTGTTTCAACCTACATTTCCCCAGTATAAGATCATAATGCAAAAATTGGACGTTAGTGGCTTGCATACCTTCTGCAATCTGCATAGCTGCCTCACACTATACCAAACTAGTGGATTCTGTTGACTAGGAAGACGATAAGTATGTGAGCAGGAAAGCAAAAGGTTCTTATAATCATTGGCTTTCTGTATTTTTTCTTTGGTAGTAGCTCGAGTGGCCCAGAGAGAGTTGTCATGGGCGGGGAAATTAGTATTTTATAGTTAGTGGGGAAGAAGACCACATTTTTATGAGAGGAAGGTGAAATAGGGAGAGAGCCATTGGTTCTGGTGGAAGTAGGGGTGTCCATTTGGGTTCGGTTTTTCGGGTTTACTCAAAATCAACCCGATTATATATATTTTTGGTTTTTCGGGTTCGTTTCCGGTTTTGCGTTTTTTGGTTTCGGGTTCGGTTTTGCTTATCGTTTTTTCGGGTTCCGGCTAAAAATCTCCAATGAATAGAACTCAACCCGTATTCTTAGACGTTCAGGTTTTTCAGGTTTCGGTTTTGCTTTAACCGAACCTGAACCCGATAAGAAATTTTCGAGTTTTGGGTAACCGGAACCCACAAGTCCTTATCGGGTTCGGATTCGGTTTTAGTGGTTTTCGGTTTCGGGTTTTCAGTTTTTTCGGGTTTCGGTTCGGGTAACCGAACCCGACCCGAATTGACACCCCTTGGTGGAAGAATGAATGTGTTAGAACTTGGAATAGATGGCGAGGAAGAAATGCTTGAATCATTGATGCCAACATCGTGGCTGTCTTCACGCTTGAAAATGATGGAAGGTTGGAAAAAAAAAAAAAAGTGATTGCGTCCTTTTGTGAACACCTTTTGCTTGTGCCCTTAAAGTCAGTAGGTCCTGTGTCCTTGTTTAGGTGCTCCATTGCCCATTGGAAATCCTATACATGGGGTGGGAGTCCTTAAACTCTAATCCGAAGTTGATCTCTGATTTATGCGTGAGTTGTAGCTTCATTGGTTAAAATAATTGTTAAACGATATATCTTGGTACTAGGTGTAAGTTATATTCACTTGTGTAAGTGTGTAACTTACGGTTCGTCTAGTTGGTATTTTTGGGAACTTGGATGGAATTAGGGCCGTAAACGATTCGAAGCGAGCCGAGGATTGCCATGGTTCGGGTTTGGCTCGTTAAAATAATTTCAAGTTCGAGTTCGGCTCGAGTTTGGCATGAGTTTTAATAGGCAAACTTGAGCTCGGCTCGTTTACAATAAAAGTTCGAGTTCGGCTCAACAAATGAGATTAACGAGCAATATTAAAGTTCAACTGATGAAATGTCGATTGTAGCTCAAGCTCGACTCACAAAACACCAACAACAAAGACTTAAGGGTTTTGAGCTTGTTTGCGAGCCTATTGAGCAGAATATGTCATGGCTCGAGTTCGTCTCGTTTACAAACAAGTTTGTTCATGTCCGACTCAATTAAAGACGAATCGAGTGTTGAATGAATTTTTCTGACACTGAATTGTTCATAAGCAGGTTGATTGATTAACATTAATTGAATTAGCTCTTGTGAGCTGATCAAATGTTTGCGGGTTATATTTGGAGGGGTATCAAAGCCCAAAGTTCGGCATATTATATGATAGCGGCCTACCCAGCTTTCTATCCATGTCAAGCCCATTTTGATGAGCCAATAGCCCTAATCAAGTACGGATACCAACTGGTCTAAGGTCCTAGTCAGGCAAGGCCATTATTACAGGCCTGGTTTTGGGGCCTTAGTTTTTAATGGCATATGGAGTTGTACACCTGTAATTTTTTTTTTTGGGATTTTGGAGTATAAATTTGGTCACGGTTTATATTTATCATTTGTGTTCTTATATTTTCGATACAATAATTAATAATTTTCCTATAAATTTACTATTTACATTTAATTGGTTTGATTGTTGACGAGTTATATTCACTTTATCTCTTAAGGTTGGGGTGTACAACAATATGGTATGGACTAAACTAGTATGATTCGCGGTCAAATAGTGAAAGACATCTGAAGATTAAAGACAGGATTATTCGGTTCGATTTTGTTCGATCCAAATGACAATTCATTTCATTTTTTTGTACTTAAAAAATTCATGAAAGCTATAATCATACTACATCAGATTCAATTCGATATGGTTCAGACTCTCGTACATGCATCATTTTGATCCCGTGCGATCCGACTAAACCCTTGCTTTCTCAGAAGGGATCAGAATCCTTGGCTCTTCTTATCTATCAGATCAGCTACTCGATTGAACCCACGTGGCAACGATCCACCCTTTTGGGAGATAATTGGTAGAAACATCGGAGACGTGGCGAACACAGTCCCCAAATCCAGACCTAAAGTTCTCTCTCTCTCTCTCACACTCACTCCCCCCTCGTGCACACATTTACTGTAGTCTCTCAGCTATCTCTCAACACCATCTGTCTGTTCTTTCTGGGGAGCGAGGAGGAAGAAGAAGAAGCAGAAGAGGGAAGATGGCTTTAGCAGTAAAGGCGTTACCTTTCACGTTTGTGGCGCACGCGATTGCGGTCGTGGCTGCAGTCATGGTTTTGGTTTGGTGCATCCACTTCAGAGGCGGCTTGGCTTGGGAGGATACCAACAAAAACCTTATCTTCAATGTAAGTTGCAACTAATTCCTCTCCCTGAATCTCATGCTTCTGGTTCTGATGGTGGGTATTGTTGTCTTCTTCCCCTCTGCCTGTTCATCGAAATCTGGAACTTCAACCAGTGGCCATCGCTAATCATAGCTCCATATGGGTTTTGCTTACCTGTGGTCAATGAATTCGGTTGCTGACTGCTGTTGGGCGAATGGTTTGCTCTTATATGATTGATTTTTTTGGCACTTCCATTTCACTCTTTCCTTATCTAATTAAGCTCGTATATTGGGGATAATCTTACTAGGCCGTTTTCCTTATCAGTTTGCAGAACTTGATGAGTAATTGGGATTTGAAAGGTTGGAATTTTGCTTAGGTTCTCTCTCTTTTCCCTGCCACTGACCATCATCCAGTTAGACTCAGATTGACATAGTGGTCTGTGAACCTAAAAGTTGCTAGAAAACCCCTCCATTGCAAATTTAAGAGGGAATATATCAATTTGGCCAAGAAGGATCCTATTGTGCCACTCTACTCTCCTTAGGTCATAAGATGTCTGATATCATGCTGTGCACTCATTCATGGGGAAGTTAGGTTTCAATTTGTATCTGATTGACACTTGATGCTTACTGGAGTCTAATCTTGTTGTTCAATTCGACGCCTGCAGCTTCACCCCGTGCTGATGTTGATCGGCCTTATTATCATAGGAGGCGAAGGTACCTCCACGACCCGCTGCTGATTTCGTTTCCATTTGCTCACATTATACTCCTTTAATGCTAACTATCTTATCTTGCTGGAATCCAATCCAAAATGCAGCTATAATAAGCTACAGGTCTCTCCCTCTGAAGAAAGAAGAGAAGAAACTCATCCACCTGGTTCTCCATGCCGTTGCACTCATCCTCGGAATTATTGGCATCTACATGGCGTTCAAATTCCACAACGAGAGTGGCATCGCCAACCTTTACAGTTTGCATTCCTGGCTTGGCATCCTCGTCATTTCCCTCTATGGCATCCAGGTAAGATCAGGACTACCCAGTCAGAGTTGCAATGCTGAAAACTGACATAATTCAGAAAAAAAAAACTAATCCGGTTACGAAATTCGCAGTGGATATATGGATTCATCATCTTCTTCTACCCCGGAGGTTCGAGCACCCTTAGGAGCGCGTCCCTTCCCTGGCACGTGCTGCTCGGGCTGTTTGCATTCGTGTTGGCAGTCGGCACTGCAGCAATTGGGTTCCTTGAGAAGCTGACATTCCTTCAGAACTCCGGGCTAGCTAAGTACGGATCCGAGGCTTTGCTTGTGAACTTCACTGCCGTGGTCACCATTCTGTACGGTGCCTTCGTCATACTGTCTGTAGCCGGTCAGAAGCAGGCTGAGGATGACTTCTATACAGCCATATGAGTGACCTAGAGAATGTGGTTTGTGTATTGGAGGAGGGAACGAACGAGACTTGATCTGGTAATACTGGGTCGTGCTTATGCGTAAGTACCCATTTAAATATAAAATTAGCACGATGGATCCTCTATTGTAGAGCATATTTCTATTGTGTATATTTGGCCATTGTGATTCTCTTGTGCTACAGCAGAAGTCAGGAGACAGGAATCGCAATTTTGCCTGAAAAGGGAAGCTCGCTGATGTTCACAAATAAGGGGATCTCTATTTCTTTTTGGGCAGATTACTTTCGACTAAAGCAATTTTCTTATGGATCCTTGGGAATTGACTATTGAGTGACAAATTGCACACGGTTATGCAGCATAAAAAAGGGGCTAATTTAAGGCAACAATTGGCGTTATTTGGAGTTAAAAATTGGCTAGACAACTTTTGATTGTTTGTGGCTCTGAAGATCTTGAAAAGTTGTGCAAAAAAAAAAAGTTCATGTTGATTAGATAATCGGTCAAAGTTATCGTCGTTTAATTCTTTTTGTATGTAATATATTGATCGGTTTTGACCAAAGTGATCATTCGCAGATTATTGAGGTCTTAACTGTCAAGGAATCTATGTAAGATTACTGACACTATGTTTGGGAAAATGTGCAAATGGGAGGAGGGTGCAAATGATAAGAGTAAACATAGTTTCCAAGATATTTGCACTCGTTTGGATAATTTGTAACAGTAGGTGTGCAAAACGGAAGTGCAAAATTACTATTTCGGCTTACCCCCCGAATGGGGGTGCAAGTAGGGATGGCAATGGGGCGGGTTTGTCTAAATCATCCTCATCCCAATTATCAAATACTCAAACCCATACCCGCCCCATACCCATGCGGAGGGAGGTTTTGCAAACCCATCCCCATACCCATGGATTTCGGATACCCATGGGTAATACCCGCCCCTTATAAGCAATTTATTATATTTAAAGTTCAACATGTATGTCTTCAATTATAACACAAAACATACATAATAAATAGCGGAAATCAATATAGTTATAGTATTTCTTAATAGGAAAAACATTCAATCCTAAAATATTGATTAATCAATAAAATAAAATAAAAATATAATACTATATCAAATCTAATCTAACACATCTATATAGTAATAGCTAACAGAAACTTGTCAACTAGACAAAAACCTTTTTTCTTCTAAAATATTAAAGTCTACTAGACTACCAGTTACTCAAACACACTAAGTTAAACCACTATGTATCAAAATAATTCAAATGTAAAAAAATGATATGCAATGACCTATGACTAAATTTCAAGGGTTTTGATAAATATAATTACATTTTAATCATGTTTTCTAATTTAATTACCTTATTGCTAATAATAATTTATAAAAATATATATATAGCTTTTTGACGTTTAGCAAAATACCTTGATGGAGCGAGTTTAGGTATGGGTATGGGAATGGGGCGGGGGACGCTAAAACCATACCCGCCCCATATCCATCAAGTTCTTTGCAGGTTTTACCCATACCCGGTCAATGCGGGGATTCCCCGCGTTAACTGGGTCGGAGGTGGGCGGATACCCGCAACCATGGGTTTGATTGCCATCTCTAAGTGCAAGGGAAGGAAGGAAGGTAGGAGGGGGGAAATTATGGATATTTTTAATCATATTATAATTATATAATAATTAATATTATTAATTTTCTGTTATAACTATCATTAATGTAGACTTTGTTCGAGGTTGACCGTTTGACTTCGAGAGCAAGTTTGTCAATGTTCGTCTAGTCAAATCGATATCTCTTGGTTGACTCAAATTTGCATTGAAAATTAGAGATAAGAAGCGTTTGTAAAAAAGATAGAGAGTAGCGGTTTAGTTGACTCAGTTTACTTAACTAAATATTTAAAATTTACAGATTCAAACGTGTTTGACTAAGTTTGACCATATTCAATTTAAATATAGGCACGAGAACCCCCTTAGGAGTACCAGTTACGAGTTGGGTTTCGAGTTAGGTCGCTCGACCAATGATTATTATTGTTTTTATAATTAATTATTATTTGAGCATTATTATCATAATAATATTGTAATAATGTATTTATTATTATTATATATTGATTATTATTTTTATTATTTGGTGATAATATTTTATAAATTTGATAAATTTATTTTATAATAATATAAGTACTTACTTATCTGTTTATTTGCACCCTTACTTTTTCATCCAAACAACAATTGACACCTCCATTTACACCTCCACGGCCCACCCCCACCAAGTTGCACTCCCAACAATTTACCTCTCAAGTTGCACCCACTCGAACTTACACCCCCTTGTTGCCAAACATAATGTGAGGTTCAAGCAGTTAATATGCGATCTGTCACAAATTGTTGATGCATTAAGCGATCTGTCATAGATGGTTGAGATATCAAGTAATCAATAGGCAAATTGTTTTCGTCTGAAGCAATCTAACCCAATGCATGTGTAATTCGATAATTTATTGGAAAATTACTAGATGTTTGAGAATTTTTTAGAGTAACTTTGAGAAAACGTATAGAAAAAACAATATAAAAAAAAAAAAAACAAATCACGGTTTCAGGAATTGGGCTTTTCGGGTGGCCGTCGGTGTGCTTTCACTTGGTACTGACATGTGACTCTGGTCCAACTTGAGAGAACAGTCGAACTCTCATATGGACTCCTGTTTTTGGGTGAATACCATTGGGCTTTTTGTGGGATGGGCTTCCCCCTTGCATTCTAGTCTAGTACCATATTGCCCCTCTGAAAAAAAGAGTACCATTTCGTCCCCAGGAACAAAACTGAATTGGCAAAAGCCAACAAATCATTGTTTTCGATGGCCATGGAGATATTTGTGATGGGGAAGGCTGATACCATCCTTTGTTCATCTCCCATTGAAGCAGAAGCTAAGGCTTTACTGGAAGCTGTTCGGTATGCGCAGGATAAAGCCACGCCGTGTTTGATACGTTCGGACTGTCTTTTCCTGATTCTTGCCCTTGCATCTACCCTCCTAAGTGGTCATGGAGAGTTTCTGCTTGGCTAGGGATTATTCAAGACATTCTAACACGTAACGGCTTCATCAAGGTTGCATTCTTCGGACGCAAGCTTAATAAGAGAGTGGATTGGGTGGCCAAATCGCTTGCTAGGAATTTACTCCCTCCAGATTGGGTGACAATTCTTAGTATTATTTCACCTCTCTTGTATCCTGCTACATAGTGTAACTGTTGTCGCATGGGAAATGAAATTGGAAGTGTTTCTTGGTAAAAAAAAAAAAAAAAGCTAACAAATCATTACAACACAAAACCATTCAACGAGGTATTGCGGTTTCTTTTATGACCCTAGAATGATTTGGTACATGAATTTTTTTTAAAAAAAAAGCTTTCTTGCTCACAGCATCCTGCAATGTTGAATTGTGCACGTACAATCCGATATCTGTGATGTGTAAGTAGGAGTGACGGTTCGGTTAATCGAACCAAAGATTATTAGAAACCAAAATTCAAATTAGTCAATTTTCCAAAATCAATATTGTTTAGAGATTATTAATTTTCCATTAACCAAAAAACCAGTAAGTTTTTAACGGATTTGGTTTGGTAACAATATGTCAAAATATTAAAAAAGAATCTTTAATTACATGAAAGCCTATTGATTTTTGATTGGTTTATCAACTAGTTTTGATTTTAACTTAAACCATTAAAGGCTTATTGATTTTAAGTTTTTAACAATATATCACCAGAACTGAATTGAAAGCAGCTGAGCTTTGGACTTTCAATGGCGTGGAGCTTGGGGTTCAGGAAAGTGATCCTCAGCCTTGCTCCACTACTGCAATAAGCATCATCAATCACAGCAACGATGCTGCACACATACATGGACTTCTTACCATGGAGATCAATCGCCTTCTGGCTTTGAGCTGGGAGGTTCAAATCACGCATAGCTATAGAGAAAGCACCTTCGCAGCTGATTTTTTAGCCTAAGAAAGGCCATGGCCTTCTTTTTGGAGCCCATTCGATTGATGTTTTTCATTTGGGGTTTAGCCACCGACTATCTTTTGATGTAATGGGTATCCCATAAACGTTTATTAATACTAATTAAGACGCCATTAACGTCTATCTTCCTACAAAAAAGAAACCAAAAATTGAAACCAACCCCGCGGTTCCTAACTATAATAAGCACTCCCTCACATGGGCTTGGCTGAGTAGTTTAGCAAAATTCGTGTCCGTCCAAAGCAAGCTTTTTCAGACAAATTTTGTGGTCATATATTTTAGAAGCGACAGGTTTTTGTTTGCGACAAGATAGGGTGGATGTGGGCCGGCATGAGACAGTGACACGCGTCCTTGGAATGGGGAGGAATCTTGGAGAATCCTAGGGACCCCACAACGTGGCAGTTTGTGATTGGTATTTCACGTCTCTGTCCTACTACAACCGTCATTCACAGCAAATGTCGGCCCTACGCGGCTACGCCTCCCTTTTTTGCTGGCACACTCACTGACGCAACTTGCCACGTCAAAACGTTGAAAGTAATCCACTACCCTAATTGCCTTTTTACGCTCACAGCACACGGTTGATTACTTGTAATGGTATTAGATAATCTTTTAAGGTCAAAGGGTATAGATAATCTTTTCTTGGTAAGGAAGCCCTCCAGGCTCCAGTTGCCCTAATCTGTACACGTTTGTATGTGTCAATAAGTAATATGGACAGTTAAAGTGATTTCTGGTGCATATATTTCAGTTGATATATCTTGATTTGTATGAAGTTATACCAGAACACAAGGGTACAAGTTCAAGTTGTACCGTAAAAGAATTTGTATAAAAAATATAGTTACAATTTAAAGTTGTACCATAACGTTAAAGGTATAATTTCAAGTTGTACCATAAAAGCAAAAACCTATAGCACCAATGCTATATAGCATTGTAAAATTCCTCATGAATGTATTTGATGGCAAATTCATGAACATAGGAGATTTGGGTTTATTTATAGCTACGCCTACCGACGATAGTCATGAAGTGATTTTTTTCTTCTCAAAATGATATGTTATGACAATAGAATTCAGCAGTCTCATTGTGTTAAAGCTCATGTCTTATATCACTTACTTGTCTCGCTCATTAATAATATCTGAATGATCAATATTGTAAGAACCTAAAGAGGGCTCATGTCCATAGTACTGTATGTGTAGTGTAGTTTAACAGGGGCTAAAACTGTAAAATATTGCGATCGCGGAAAGAAAACAACACCGAGAATTATGTGTATCCCCGAAAACCGGGACTAATCCACGAAGAGCACAACTCTCATGATGAGGTTCCACTATGAAAAGAGAGTGCAACAACTTAGGGTTTCTTAGCTTCTGCAAACGTACAACAAGCCATATAAATACCTTTCTCCATAGAACACACGGGTAATGGCAAAATACAAAAACACTCCAAAACTAAACCCAACGTACAACCAGGTCCAATACTCCCCCTCAAGCTGAAACATGAAGGTTACAAATGCCAAGCTTGGACAATAAGTGGTGAAACTGCTCAGTCCCCAAGGCCTTGGTAAAGATGTCTGCTACTTGATCACGTGTGTGAATCTTGAGTGGCTGAATCTCACCGGAGCTGACGCGTTCACGAACAAGGTAGCAGTCCATTTCCACATGCTTAGTACGCTCATGAAAAACGGGGTTAGCGGAGATGTGCAGAGAAACCTGATTGTCACAATGA